ATCGAGGTACAGTCCAAGATACCGCACGTGATCCGCCCGAGGGACTTCCACGTCATTCAACGTCACTGGTGGACAGTGCTCTCTTCGCAGGGTGAAGGTAACGTTGACCGACTTGCTTTCATTAGCTTTGATCCGCCACCTTTTTAGCCAGTCGGCTATGTTATTCAAACCTTCTTGTAGTAGTTTGGCTGCGATTTCTGGCTGACTATGGGTGGCCAAAATGGCTGTGTCGTCAGCAAAAGTACCTGTTGTAATTTTTTCACTGGTAGGTAAATCCGAGGTGTAGAGCAGGTAGAGGATCGGACCAATTACACTTCCCTGTGGAACCCCCGCTAGGATGGGGCAAAGGCTTGTCATCTCGTTTCCACACTGAACCATAAAGTGACGATTAGCTATGAAAGCTTTGATCATACAAAACAGGTGATGGGGCATGGTTTTTTTAATTTTGTAAAGCAAACCCTGGTGCCAGACCCGATCGAAGGCCTGCGAGATGTCCAAAAAGACGGCTGTACAGTATTTTTTGGCTTCATACGCTTTATGTATTTCGACTGTAAGTCTGTGAATTTGTTCGATAGTAGCATGCTTATGACGAAATCCAAACTGATGGTCTGGAACCAGATGTTTTGTTTTAATTATTGGTAGCATGCGAGTTAATAGGAGCGACTCGTAAACCTTCGAAGGAATCGGTAGTAGACTGATAGGTCTGTAGGATTTAGGATCTTCCAGAGCCTTGTCGGGCTTAGGGATCATTATTATTTTGGCTACTTTCCACTGTGGAGGGAAAAATCTGAGTCTTGTCATGCTGTTATAAATGGACGTGAGCATAGTCATTCCAGAGTCTGGCAGTTCGGCCAGCAGCCTACTAGTGATGAGGTCGAAACCGGGGGCCTTCTTTGAGTCAATCTTTTTTATAGCCCGTACCACTTCATTTTTATTGAAATTGGGCATGTCGTCAACTATTTCTGCGCTTGAGTCTTCCTCCGCCAAGTAGTTAGATACCTCTCTTTCTTGTTCGGGGGTACCTTCATTTGGATGGGGTTTGAAAACGGATTGTAGGTGGACAGAGAAAGTGTTTGCTTTTTCGGCATCAGTACGAGCCCATCTCCCGTCCTGTGCACGCAAGGCTGGGGAGACATTAGTAGGTCTTCTAATTTTCTTTGTAGCTTTCCACAGCGAGTAGTCTGATGATGCGGAGGCATCCAGACCGCTCAGATGCAATTGAAAGGCCAAATTACGACGTCGAGTGGTTGCATTCTTGAGTTTCCTGATGGCATGATTAAACAGCTTTTTCGCTTGTGGGCATTGTGATAGTTGCCACCGTTTCCTCAGTCTTCTCTTTTGTGCTACCAACTCTAGAAGGTGATGGGCTATGGGCAAATCTTCCCCAGTTTTTCCTGCTAATGGTGTGGAATCCCAAGCAGCATCTTGCAGAGACCTTGTAAAATGTTCGACTGCATAAATTATGTCATCCTCAGTCTTTAGTCTAGCTGGTTCAACCAATGCTGTATCAATTAAGTGCCGGAATAGTGACCAGTTTGTTCTACGATTGTGTAGATTGCACCTAGGTTCCTCCGCTGTTAAGGTGGTAGAAAGGTTAATAATAATTGGTGAGTGATCCGATGATAAGTCCAAACAGCTTTGGCAGGACAGATAATTTTTGGCTATTCCCTTAATTACGCAAAAGTCGATGACATCTGGTATTTTCTTGGGATCTGTTGGCCAGTATGTGGGATGGCCTGATGAGAGAACATACATGTTGTTCATTTGGACGCATCTAAGTAGTTCACGACCGCGAGGTAGTATCAGCCTTGAACCCCAGTACGTGTGTTTGGCGTTGTAATCACCTCCAGCGACAAATCTCGGCCCCAAAGAACGGAAATAATCAGCAAACTCAGTATTTTTGATGGTGTGTCTTGGTGGACAGTAGACGGCTGACAAAGTTAATTTGTTAATTGAATCGGACACCACGATGGATGATGCTTGCAGATATTCCTTTGAGTAGGGTGAGGACTCATGATGCTTGATATTTGCCTTTATCAGGATTGCAGCGCCACCGTGGGCTTTGCCATCTGGGTGCATAGTGTGGTACAGGGAGTACCCTTGTATTTTGAAATAGCTTTTGCTTGTAAAGTGGGTTTCTGAAATTAGCATTACATCTATTTTTTTTATTTTTAGGAATAATTTTAACTCCTCAGAGTGATTTGACAGGCCATTTGCATTCCACACACATATATTTAGTGGTTGGAATGTGAAGTCAATTTTGACGTGAGTTCTGTTAGCAGTTTTGTGACTATTAACATCTGATTCATAACAGCTTGCATTGTTTCATTTAACTTTAGCAAGAAAGATTCCGTTGTTTGTGCGTCTGTGTTGTCTTTTGTTGGTAAGTTGTTTTGTACTATTTCGCTATATGTTGGGTTAGTTGCTCCAGTTGGCCGAGTTATTTTTGAATTTAGGGGTGACTTTAAGGGTTTCTTTGGAGGTGGGGCTGGGTATTTCATTTTCTGTAGCTCCTTGTAGACTTTACAACCTTTGTAATTCGCAGGATGGTTACCGTCACAGAGGATGCACTTCACCTTATCGGAACGTTCCTTCCTGGAGCAGTCAGATGTGCGATGAGAACCTGCACATTTAACGCACTTTGGTTGTCTATGGCAAAATTTTTTGGTGTGTCCATATTGCTGACAATTAGAGCATTGTGGGATGTCCCGTTTGGGTCTAGGAGCCTCAAAGGTAACTCTACAATTGAGTATGCACTTCAATTTATAAATATCTTTATTATTAGCCTGCGGTTTTAGGTCGATAAAGAACATGCTGAGCGGCTTTTTCGTTTGTCCATGTTTGATGTTCCAGATGTTCCTTACTTCATGCTGGAGATCTTCAAGTGCCAATTTGATTTCTTCTAAATCAGTAGAAGGATGCATATGTTTTAGGACTACTCTAAAGCTACGTTCGTCTTTGGGTTGGTAGGTGAAGAATTCAGTGTTCCTTTTTTTCAACTCTTTGTACATAATTTTGTAAGACTCAGCAGTGTTTGCCTGAATTTTAACTCGCTCAGACTGTAGTACTTTAATTTCAAAATTTCCTGGTATTGTAACTTCAAGCATATTAATTAATGGCTGGATGTTACTGACTTTATCAACAAATATTGGCGGAGGCTTATGAGGCTTCTCTACTCTCTCAGAGCTTTCATCTTCAAGGCCGGTAAATCTGTTGGAAGTTGAAACAGGTGCACTCAACCAGTAGCTATTGAGTTTTGCTTGTTTTTGGCTTAACGAACATTGTTCTGGGCTGTGCTGTCTTTTTCGTCCTACAACATCTTCCCAGGGCTCTGCAGCGGTATTGCATTGTGTTACTTCCTTGTCCAAATCAATTGGCTCACTAGCGTCTTTTACAGGTGACTTTCCACAAGAGTTTGATCTTGGTTTATTTGTGAAGAGGCCTTTGTGAAATATTTGTTGGGTTAAGATTTTAGGTGAATTTGTATTATTGGTATTTACATTTGCCATGTTGTTCCCACGAGTAGGGTCGAATTTCTTAGGTCACTTACAGGGTAACGCCCATTCCCATAAGAAGGCTCTTGTACAACGGAGATTGCCCGATACTCCGAGGTTTGCGCTTGGGACTGGTCTCCCACCAGCCATTCATCCTTTGGGCACGGTCACACCGTAGGATTAGGAATTTTTGAAGAGGTTATTTCCTCACGACCCAGGCAATTAAGCCAAGGTCATCGTTTTCGCTAGACTTGACAACGAATTTACGACCGCTGATAGACATTTCCTTCTATCAGCTTAGTATGAGTTGTTAGCTCATATTGTTCAGGATACTTTACCGCCGCCTGAGACTCGGCGTTGTTACTCGTTTTGCACCACCCGGGGGACACGTGTAGGGTGGGCCTAGGAAAGGTGGTAGTTCCTACGGACGTGAGTAACACCATCCCCCAATGTTTCAGTTAATCATGATATTTTATTAACCGACTCCTAAACAAAAAACTAAAATACCAGTAGATACGTTCGTCCATTTCATTGCCAATTTATTCGATGACAGATATAATCTAGTTAAAAAATACAACTCTAGCTAAAAAAAAAACAATGTGGGGATCAAACCCACAACACTCTGCGCATTAGGAAGTCATCCGTCCTGTCATAAAAGTGGCCACAACGCGTGGTTTATTGAAATTTACGAAAAAATATCTACAATACCAAATTTTATATTGAAATAAATTGCATTGTTTCTACCAACTTATCATGAGAAAAAAGAGAATAAAATTGTTTTATTAGGTCATAATTTGCATCCTATTTGTATATCTAATCAGAAATTATAAATTGTCTGCAAATAAAGAACCAATTTAGCAGATTGATTGACAGCTTTGATGTTAACCACCTACACATGCCTATTATATTTTAAACGAAAAGGGACTTACATATTTTAACTTCGGAGTTATGTTCTATTAAAAATCAAATGGAATTTGACAAATGACAATGACATCTGCAGTTATGTTAGAGATATCTATTTCATGGTATGCTTACTATTTTTCTGGGTCTTGTACCATATTTCAACTAAAATTTGTGCTGGTACGCAATAACACACAACTTTCTACATTGATCTTTTTTTTTTGTTGTATCTAAGAATTTCTTTTTGTTATTGCTGAAAGTTACAATATTTTGGTTTTTTTTGGATTGGTTACAATATTGATTACAGTAAAAAATTTAGTGTTCATTATAATATATTTTATTTTCGAACCATTGATTGAGTAACTTCATTCAGATTAACTTTATCAATCGAGCGAATTATCCATTAGAACGAAAAGGGACTTACATATTCTAACAACAAAGTCAGAGAAACAGAGTCATGTTCTCTAAAAAAATTAAATGACATCTGACAGATTTTGAAGATTTGAGGTTATATTATGGTGTGTCGTATAACGTTTCTTATAACTTAATTTAATTTTTTTACCTTCACCTACTTTTCTGTGATTTCAATCATCTGTTTGATCTACAATGCGTTTCACAATTAAACAAGCCACTAGCGGTAGTGAACGTATTGGTACTTTTACTGGATTTATAAAATCACCGGGTGCTGTTATTGAAACTCCTACATCCGCTTTATTTACTCAGGTATTTTTTTGCTGAAATTCAACTTTTTCTCATATTATACTCTTTCGAAGATGTGTATGAATGTGTGTCAACACAATACAGGCTCCAATACTGTTAAATTATTATTAATCTATGTAATATTACTACAGTAATTGTTATAGTAGGCTATTATTTTCTTACATGTAAATTAAGTACTTGTAAATTTTCAGGGTGGCAGTGTCACACACGTAACTAGTGAAGTATTATCAAAAATATTTACCACACCTAAACTGCTATGGGTGCCCCTGTCAAATTCTTATCAACTGGAAACGGGTTTAAAAGCCCAAGGTCAGGGTATAGCGAAGTTCGCAGGCCTAACAGGACATGTTACTTCTATAACACCACATAGTGCCAGTGAAGTAACTCCTGTGGGACATTTTGAGCATGGTAAAGTGCCCCTATGGACTAAAAATGGAAAAAAGATGATTACTGCAGATAGGTATTTATCAATTTGTATTCCAATTCTACCTCATTGGTAGTAATTTTACATTATATCTGTGATGCCACAGTAGTGCATTTTACTGCAATGCTTAAATTTAAGTTCCCTGTATAAATGCCTTCAAATATTATTATTGTATGTCTATCTATACGAAATATGTAATATTATAAATAAATAATATGTAATATTAAGTTTATCTTGAACATGTTATATTGTAAATATATAATATTTGGCCTATCTTTTAGGTTAAAATATATAACCTGTAATAAAAAAATCTTAAATCGAAGTGAAGCTAAGCTAATAATATAAAGAGTTTAATAGTTGTAATGTTAAAAATAAGACTTTTATTAATTGAAAGTGTCATAGTTTGGAATCATTTGTCATAGTTGAAACTGTGTCAAGTTTGGATTGGGACTTTATTGCGTTGGTTACATTTGGATATGACCCCAAATAAAATTGAGAAAAGGGTAGGCAGATGATGACATTTGGATAATATTAAGAACACATATTGTAAATCTTGATTCAGTAAAAGATTGATTATTATTGCTAAATTCATGCAATTTCAGCTATATGGATCTTATGGAAGTTTTCCAACCAGACATAATTTTGGCGATTGCAGATAGTCGGACGTCTCTAGGTGAAGGATATAAAAGAATATTGAAGTCAGTGGATAGAACCTGCGGGTTCTTAGAGAAATGTGTGGATCGATATAAAGGCTCAAAGCAGCTTCAAACTAGTTCCCTTATTGGTATGAAGTATATTTTTTATTGCCTGGTAGTAGAATTATGATAATAATTCATGAACTTTATTTTTTTTAGTTTATTGCCCGATATGATTCAAACTCATTGTATAGCTTTCTAACATTTTAGCTTTCTGCTAAATATGAAATACATTAGTATCTATAGTATGGTAAGGTAAATAAAAAGTAATTTCAGTTAATAATACTGAACTTTTTAATGTTACATAGGGCTGGACCTGGACATCTTTCATTTGATCATCACTCTTGAGGTATAACTTGACTATCACAGTTTCATGTTATTTTTGCCAAATTAATTATAACTATAGAGGAAAAGCTTTTATTATCAATTTAAAGCAAATAATTTACAATAAAACATTTTTCGCATTTCAAATGCTTTAGTTTATACTGCCTTTATTGTGTAATAAATTGTTGAAGTAAATGAAGAATAGGTTGGTGTAATCATGGAAAGAATATATACATTGGAACAAAGCCAAATTTCCTATATGGGTCTAGTCATATTTGAGTAATCGGAGATCATACATAAGAAAAAAGGATGAACTGAAAACTCCTCTTTTCTTTAAGTTGGTTTAAATTAAGCAATTACACAGGACGATAAATTTTAGCTTTAATAAGTACACAGATTTAATTTTATTATTTTCTTTGTTGTGACAGAACCAGAATTACTGTGCAAGTAATTACCTCACATATCACACACATGAATATATTAAACTCGATCAAATGTATACTCTATAATTATTTTTTTAACAATATTTCTGATCTATTCTTTGTCTTTTATCTATTCTTTTTCTAAGTCTTTCTTCATTAGAGAGGCTTATTTCTGGCACTGGATTACAATAGGCTAACAATGATGACTTCTGCTCTTCTTGCAGGTGTGATTGTAGCTGCTGGTGTACCAAGTAAATGTGATGAATGTATAACACATATATTAAAATATAAAGATTCTTTGGGTGGTGTAGCTTTAGCTGGACTTACAGATGGTACTGAGGAATCTTTAAAACTAGTAAATGATAAGATAGAAGGGATTTTTGCAAGAGTTAATGTGAGTATGTTGCATGTCTTTTGAAATCTAATCACTAATCTTTCTGTGTAATTCATTAAGTGTATGATATGACTCATTGACTTTTAAAGCTACTAAATAATTTAATCTAATTAATTTTCTTTTTGCATTTATTGTATGGGTGTGTGCATTAAATTAGAACTATTTAACATTATATAAAGTGGTTAATATAGGGAAGGCAAACAAGTAGTTTAAGAAAAAATCCTAAGTGATCTTATAAGGGTTCCGTTTTTTTTCTTTTGAGGTATGGCACCCTAAAAACTACTTATTTGTGAAATTACTAAAACAAACTCTTTATATCAGGGAGTCCCTAACGATTTTGATATGATCTGATCCTTCTGAACCCCATAGCCAAATTACTGTATGTTTATCGACTGCTTGAGATTTTTTTAAATACAACAATGATATCACTTTCCACCAGGAGACCCATCGTCTGACCCTCTATTATAAAAATCATACTTTGTATTAAAATATTAGTCATTCTTATAACAAGCTGGTATACGTAAGACAACTAAAACGGTTTCTTGAAAGTTACAAATTAAAAAAATAAACTTGTTTTAATTAATAGGGGTTGATTTTTAGACCTCATCAATCCCCAAAATCAGTTTATAAACGATTATGTCCACCACTGGAAAACCGATTTCGATAACAAGAGATGGATATCGACCACTTTGGAAATTCCTGTTTTACATAAAGCTTTTGATGCTAATTTATTGTTTTAAAATTCATTGAACATTTTAAAGTTACAGGCAGCATTAACACTAGTGCTAGTTCAGAGTAGAGGATATTCCTTTCTACTGTCGACGATACAAGAGACAGTATTAGTACATACTAACTTCTATATTTCATTTAACCGTTAAGCTAGAGCTTAGGTTAGGTTAAAATGTGATGATATCATTCTACAACATTCCAAACTGGTGATACGATTGTTTAAAATTCAAATTTTCGTCATTAGTCACTGTGACGAAGTTTACGTAGGCAGCTGGAGCATGTGCTTATTTAAATAGAGATAAGATATATAATATTTTACGACTGTTCTAAATCGTGGTTATCTGCAAGTCAAAGTAGTCGTAGTCATGTTTTAATATCATCGGAGATTTGAGCGAATGCACTGAACGTGTGATTTACAATATATAACTTTTTTGCAATTACTTACACTTTCAACCTATGTCTGATGGTGACATATGAGAATTATTATTAAATCTATAATTATTCATCCCCTGGGTGTCGTAACAGCCGTCTAAAGGAGCAAACTACGCAGGACAACAGCACTGCAGAGGCGCGGAAAAATTGACAGAAACCCTTTTTTTTTTTTTTTTTTTTTTTTTTTTTAACGTGTGGAAATCCCCTCGGACCGTCACCCCTCCGGGGTTTGCGGCGGGGTGGTGTGTCGGACTCGGACCGACTAAAACCACACGGTGTGCCACTCTGCGCCTGTAACAGGAGGGATCCGGGAACAGCTGTTGTTAAGACATCCGGACCCCTCCTAGCGCCAGCCCGCTCCTGATGCGGGCTCCGTCTCGATATTTTCCTCTCTTTAGGCGACGTCCGGCACACGCGGACGCCGCCCCCTCGCGGCTGGCCAACTAATGCGGGTGGAGGGGAAACCCACCCCGTCCACCCGCGGCCACACTCAGGGCGGCATGAGGCTGTGGTAGGCGGGCCTCCGCCGCCCGGTTCGCCGGCGGCGGATCGGGTCCGAGTGGAGGTCGTCCTCCCGGGCCCTTTCCGCCGCCTCCTTCCGCGAGATTACTACCTCGCAGAAGGTTGCGACCGCGGTAAAACAACTGTCGCTACCGGCCATGGAGCGTACTACGGCCGGTAGCGAGAGATCCACTCCGATGACTGCAGTGAGGGCCCGGCGCTGCGCCGCCCATGCGGGGCAGACCGCCAGCGTGTGCTGGGCCGAGTCCTCACTGCAGTCGCAGTGGTGGCAGGCGGGACTCAGTTCCCTCCTAGCGACCGTGTGCAGGTACCTTCCGAAGCAACCGTGCCCGGAAAGCACCTGCGTCAGTCGGAAGGAAAGGGTCCCGTGCTGCCGCCCTGCCCACTCGGCGATGACCGGCTGGAGAGCCTCCACGGCGGCGAAGCCAGCGCGTGGAGTCTCCAGCCGGAACGACCAACGAGCCATCGTGGCTCGGCGAGCGGCTTCGCGCCACTCGCGCACATCCTCGGGCGGAGGGCGAAATCCGCTCTCCGCCCGGTAGTCAGCCACTCGCCGATAAACTTCGGCGAGCACTTCCGCCTCCAAATCCCACGGGGGAGTTCCGGCCAACGCGCACGCCACCTCCGTCGAGACGGTGCGGTAACCGCGTATGGCTCTGACCGCCATTACCCTCTGAGGGCGCCAGAGGCGTACCCTATTCTGGGCGGTCAGAGCCGCCGCCCACACCGGTGCACCGTACAGTGCCATTGACCGGACAACCCCCGTGTACAGCCGTCTTGTCGCGACGCTGGGTCCACCCATATTGGGCAAAAGTCGCCCTAGGGCAGACGCAGCGCCGACCAGCTTTGGAGCAAGCTGTCGGAAGTGCTCGTCGAAGAGCCACCTCCCGTCGAGGATCAGGCCCAGATATTTCATCTGGGCCCGAACCGGTACGAGGACCGAGTTGACCACGATGGAGGCGCCAGGGGGTGGACCACGACGGGGCCCATGAAATAACAGGGCCTCCGTCTTATCTAGGGCCACCCGTAAGCCCAGCGCCTCAATGCGCCCGACCACCAGGGAGACTCCCCCTGTGGCCAGGCGCGCCGCCTCTTGGAAGTTTGCCCCCCGGGCTGTCACAAGGGTATCGTCTGCGTAACAGATTACACCCAGCCCGGGGGGGAAATCGGCGCGAAGGGCCCAGTCGTACCCTATGTTCCACAAGAGGGGTCCAAGAACAGACCCCTGTGGAACACCGCACGACATGGGCCGACACCTCAAATTACCTTCTCGGTCCTCGTACACGACGGTACGCTCCTCTAAATAGTCTGCCACTAGCCGCCTCAGGTACTTTGGCACCCCATGATAGTGGAGTGCTTCCCTGATGCAGCTGAATGGCAGACTATTGAATGCGTTGGCGATGTCCAGTGACACCGCCAACAGCACGCCGCCACAGCTCACGGCCTCTTCGGTCACGGCCCTCAGGCGCAACACGGCGTCGACTGTCGAACGCCCCGCCCGAAAACCAAACTGGGCGTCCGACAGATCGGGGCCCACCTCGCAGAGGTGCCGGACGATGCGGGCAGAAAGAACCCTCTCAAACAATTTGCCCGCCTCGTCCAGCAGCACGATGGGCCTATAGGCCGCGACCGAATCGGCTGGCCGTCCCGGCTTCCTCAATAGGACCAGCTTCCCGCTTTTCCAGCACTCAGGGAAGCGTCCCGACGCCAAGCTAGCGTCGAACACCTCCCCGAGGCGGTCTGCCATGTGGTTGAGGGCCAGGGCCAGCACTCGGGCCGGTACCCCGTCTGGCCCAGGGGCGGTGTTCTTGGAACGGATCCGTAGAACAGCCGCCCCTACCTCCGAATCCCGGACGGGCGGAACATTGTCCTCCCCGTGCTCCCCGTCGTCTCCGGCCAGGGAGGCCATCGACGGGGGAGTGTGTTCCGCACGTTGTGGGAAAAGGCCCTCAACCACTTCGCGCAGGAAGCTGGGCTGGAGAGTCTCCGTAAGGGGGGGGCCCGACGCGCGGAGCTTTTGTCGCACCGCGCGGTAAGGGCGACCCCAGGGGTCACGATTAAGACCCTCCAGCATCTCCTGTCTCTTTTCCTCTTTGGCGCGGCTAATGGCCAGCTTCAGAGTTTTCCGCGCCCGCCGGTACTCCTCATGAAGCCGGTCCTCCTCACCGTCTCCACGGTGACGCCGCCGACTGCGTGTGTAGGACCTCCGGGCACGTGTACAGGCCGCACGGAGGTCCGCCAGCTCCTGGGACCACCAGTAGACCTCCTTCCTTGGAGGCCGACGACCTCGAACGCGGGGCATGGCCGCATCGCATACATGCGTAATCGCATCGCGAAAGCGGCCAGCCCCCACGTCGACCTCCTCGGTCGGAGCCTGAGGAGACAGCCACGAGTGAATTATGGCTGCCTCCTCTAGTAGGTCCCGGTTCAGCCTGGCAACAGCCCACCGCGGAAAGCGGGATAAACGCCGCGCCACGTGACCCCTACTGGAGTCCTGGGTCCGGGAGAGCTCAAATCGGATATACAGGTGATCCGAGAGCGTCTCAACCTCTTCCAGGACACGCCAGTTCCTTACTCGTGCGGCGAGGGCAGGGGTAGCGAACGAGAGGTCCACTATCGACCCCCCCTGCTGTCGCACGCACGTGTTGGTGGAGCCTCTGTTTAGAAGACAGAGGCCCACCGAGGCCGCCCACTCCTCTACGGCCTCGCCCCTGGCGTCCGTCCTGGGGGAACCCCACGCAATGGACTTTGCGTTGAAGTCCCCCAGCACAAGGACGTGCCCAGACGCTAGTCGCCGTATCGAGGTCTCCAAGCTGATTAGGAAAACCTCGAAGTCGTTCAAACTCCGGTTGGGGGAGAAATAGACACCATATATGGTGATCCCCCCCCACTCGACGGCAACATATCCAGTGCCCTTGTCTCTTAGCGACAAGGGCGGGGAATGAGCCGTCGTGGAACCGACGACTGCCACGGAGCCGTCCCAGTCACCCATCCAGTTTGGACGGGGAGGGACAGAATAGGGCTCCGCGACTACGGCAACACCTATCGACCACTGTGCCATGGTTTGCAGGAAGAGATCCTGCGCCGCGGCACAGTGGTTCAGGTTCGTCTGGACCAGGAGGTTGGAGACTTGATCCATTACTGGATCGTCTCTACAACCTCCTCCATGGGCGACGACGACGACGCACGTACTACGTCGGAGGCAGCCTGGGTCGACTGGCTAGCCCCTGACGTCTGCCGAGAACTGCGGGGAGGCTTGCAGCCTCTCTGCCCCATCTGGTGATTGGCGGGCTTATTGCCCGCCGCACACGCTGGGCAGTGAGGGGCGGCAGAGCATTCTGCCGCCTTATGCCCCGGTTGACCGCAGCGGAAACACAGTCCGCCGCAGTCAAAACAACTGTCGCACTTGACGCGCGTGTGTCCCGTGGCCAGGCATTTAAAACACCTCATCGGTCTCGCCGCCAGGACTGTAATCCTGGCGCTCACGAAACCGATGAGCAGCCTGCCGGCGTCGGCCAATACTTTGGCCGACGCTACGGGACAGCTGACCCACACGGCGCCAAGCCCTCCTGGACCGGGGCGGATGGTGCCGACCCTGACGTTGTCCGCGCTGCACCCCGTCTTCTCCCGGATTACAGCGCGGACATCTTCGGCCGTCACTGAGTCGTCCAGGCCCGAGATGCGCAGTTCCGCGCACTTGGTAGGCCTGGCGACCCTGACACCATCTGTGGCTGCAAATATTCCCCGCAGCTTCTCAGCGAAGGAGTCCGCCGTCTTTGCGCCTTCAGCCCCAGGGAACTCGAGAACTCGAGCTCCCGTCTGGGCGAGGCGCATCCTGACCCCCACCGTCCCAAACTCGTTGGCGAGGCTGTCCCGGGCCTTCTTGAAGACGGCCGCATAGGACAGCCCGCCGTCAGCCACCTCCGGGGACACGGTCACCACTACCGCCGCGGTTTTGGGCGGCTGCAGCTTCCGCGGCCTCTTTGCAGAGGCCGTTGCCACCGGTGGCGAAGGCAGGGCTTGGGCTGCTCTTTGGGCAGCCTTTTTGGCCCGCCTTCGGGACTTCTTGGAGCCCCTCGCCTCCTGCCAACCCTCGTTGGAGGGGGCAGGTGCAGAGGGGCCCGGCAGGGGTGTCGGAGTGGGGAGCGGAGGGAATGCCACTCCGCTCCTCGGCGCTGTTCTAGGCCCCGTCTTGGCCGGCGCCTGGGGATGCGCCCTGGCCGGCGCCTTAGCCGGTGCCTTGGCCGGCGCCTGGGCCGGTGCCTTGGCCCCCCTCCTCGGCTTTTGTGGAGCCGATGGAGTAGGGGCAGATGCCGCCGCCGCGTAAGAAACGCGGCCTCCCACAACGGGGAGCGCGGTCGGAGCGGCGGCCTTAGGCCGCTGTGCCGACGCGAGCGGGGGGCGCATAATCGGCGCAGGAGGCAATCTCGCCTCCAGGCCAGCCAGGCGTCCGTCCAGCATATTCCCAACTGCGATGAGGATTTCTCGCAGTTGGGAGTCAAATGCCCCTGAGTTGGTGGTAGGGGCAGGCTGGGACGCGGACGGGGCTTCCCGCTCGGGGAGGTTCGCCTGGAAGCGGGCGAACTGAGCACTCAGCTCGTTCACCCGCTCCGTCAGCCTCTCGTTGGCCACCTGCAGGCGAGAGACGTCGCCCGCTAGGCCCTCCACGACCTCCGACAAAGCGGAGGAGGAGTCCTTAAGGGCCCTCACAAACGAGCCCTTCAGGTTCACGGATTTGGTGGCCACCTTTTCGATGACGGCCACCGCCGCTTTCGCCCTCTCCTGCACGGACACGGGAGCCTGGGGGGCATTTCCCCCCACCGGCTCCCGAACCTTGAGCAGGAGATCCGCGATCTCCTCCTCCGCTACAGCCTCGCCGTCCACCCGTACGCTCCTGTACGACTCCGCGTTGGAGAACGCGGAGCCTGACGGGATCGCGACCGAGGCCGGTTTGCGCGCCCTCCCTCGGCGGCTGCTTGCCACCTTTGGTGGCATCATTTCGCCGGACGTGTCGGTTTCCACGTCCCCTGAGCGTCCGCGTTTCCGGCTGTCGCTCCGCTCCGCTTCCATGGCCTCCGCGCCATCCGATGAAGCGGCGGATCCGGAACGCAGCCGATCCGATGCTCTTCGGCTCCCAGTGACCAGAGTCAGACTGACCTCTGGGAGCCCCATCGAGATAGGCGTTCCCGACACCATCTCGCCTTCAGTGGACGACCCATCCGCTCCACTGTTCTGCTTTTCCTTCCTTCGCTGTGCTTCCTTTTCCGTTAGGCTTGCCTTTTTCGTTAGCTTGGTTCCGATCGGTTTGGTTGGTTTTTTAGGTTTTTGAAAATCTTCCATAATAAATCCCACGAGTGGGGGAGAACTAAAGGTCCACCCGGGCAGAGATCCCCCATTACCCGGGCAAGCGTAAGTTTTTAACCCAACCGAGGGGTCCGCAGGTACCTCGGCTTGGAGTGCGCTCGCGACTGAACTTCCCATCAGCCATGCATCCCCTGGCCACGCACCAGAACACGGGATTCGGGGAATTTTTTAGAGAGGTTATCTTCCTCGCGGTCCGGGCGATTAAGCCAAGACCCTCGTCCCCGATCAGAGCCGCGAGACTTAACCACAGCGCTCTTCTCGGGATTACGATATGCCGACGGTTGACAGGGAGACTACGTCCAACTGCCTGCTCGGTGGTAGTGTGAGTACACGCCGAGCCCGTCCTCCTTTCTCCACCGCTATCAGCGGAGAAAACTGTGGCCCCTACAGGGCCCCGCCATCAGGTTTTTTACCGAGGTTTCCTCCTCCATGCTCCGAAGAGCGAAGAGCCAGCAGGGCAACCGGCAGACACGCCCACCCTGCTGGACCAGGCCTTGCCCGAGAGCCGATGAACGGCTACCTCTTCTGCTAGAATATTGGCCGCTGGCGATAATCCTCTCCTCCAAGAGGACAAGGAGGAAACAGTACCATCGCCAGCGTTTCCAGGGTGCACCACGAGGAGGTTTTCTAGCCCAGCACCCCAACCCTATACCAACCCATCTGGCCAGTTTGGTATAGTAGGCCAAAAGCAGTGGACTAAAAAAGGCTGATGACGATGAAATCTAGAATTAATGTCATGCTCGTGTACTAATAGTTATATTTTCCTACTTCAGACGAAACTTCCAAAAAATCTCTTACGCATCGTTGAAGGCTGTTGGAATCCAGCTGTAGTACTGTCTGCAATAGAGAATGGTTTTGACGTATTCGATGGCTCATACCCATTAAAACTGAGTAATGTAGGTCACGCGTTGGCATTAAACTTTGACCTCAACCAAAATGATAGTGAGCCATGTATTTTAGATCTGAATGATGAGAGGTAAGATTTTTTATGTGGTCGCAACTTTATTCCACAGCTATAATTCTGATCACAATTTAAAAGACCCTTATACATAAGAAAGAAAACAAGCTCTCTTCTCTTGTCAGTTTACTTTAAAACAGATAAATGATGGCTGCAGATGAATACACAGACAATATATTTTTTGTTTTGAACAACTTACAACATTAGTCTTTTAAGCTTATCATAAAAACGATTGTGTTTATTATAGGCGTTAATTGCATAATCGTGTAATCCAATTTTGGAAATCGATAGTATTAATTCCTCAAATATAACTAGACTCGTTTTTAGGATCCTGTTTGTTTAATGTCCCCGTTAGAATCCTGATTCCTGTCTCACGACCCTTAAGTGTCACAAAATTTTGTGCATACAAAACAAAGTTCTATCGTAACTTTATATATACTTTTTTTTAAATTACCAAGTGAAGGGATCTCTACGGTTATTCCTATTTATAAAGTATGCGTATGATTACAGGTATAAAGAAGACTTCAGGCCAGTATTAGCGGGCTGCGAATGCTTGGCGTGCAAGAAACACACACGTGCATACATTCGCCACCTCTTAAATACACGTGAGATGTTATCCTCGGTCTTATTGAGCATGTAAGTTGATATTGTTAACTTTAAACTCAATACTGATTTAGTGAAAAACTTTGAGTATTGCTTAATAAGTGGCTATACTCCATTCGCGTTAAGAAAATAGTGACGCATCAATCAAGCCCCTTATCATGACCAATCAGGTTTGAAGCTTTCCAACGAAAAGATAATATCTTAGTTTGTCAGTATGGTTGCTAAATGTTTTCTTTTTACTAGAAATATACAAAGAAAGTAAATAAAACCATTAAAACTGAGGGTCAGGTGTACATAGTCCTGAATTTGATGGCATGGATGGTGTAGTGGTTTAAGCGGTCGCTACACCGCTTACTACTAGGCTGAGTATTGTGGGTCCGATCCCCAAATGGGACGACACTTTGTGTGATTCACAAAATATAGATAAAGATAGGGAGCATACGGGTGGCCCGACCCGTCCACTCATTTCGTTGTGCCAATTTGACATAAACAACGAAATTAATTGACCTTGGCCTTCTCAGTAATCAAAGTAGGTATAAATTGTACACTTAGTCATCGGTTTACGCGAACGTAGTGTGATTATACGTAGAGTGAATACTGATAATACAATAATAAATAAACATATAGATGTGGTTAGTAATGTCTTACTCGGTGCAACATCTTATCACTACCATCAGTTTCCTGCTTTCGAAGTGATAACATTGACAACCACTGTTGCGGCGGACTTAATGCCACAGGCATTTTCTCCAGTCAACCTTTGTCCTTCTTTTTTGAGACATTTATTTATCTTGTATTATCAAAATACATCTATGTTACAAAAAGCAAAGTATTATAAAAGATAATAAAACAAACCTTTGTTATTTTCCTCATGTATTTGTACGGACTGTACTTTTCAAACAATGTCTAAATAAATAATTTTATGTTTGTTACAGTCACAACCTTCATCATTTCGACCAATTTTTTAAACATGCACGTCATCATATCGCGTCAAACACATTCAAGCTATACAAACAACACATCACAAAACAATATGAAGCTTACAAACAACCTCTAACCAACGGCGTAAATGAACACAAAGGGAAGACCGCATTACCTCAAGTTACTAAGAAATTAAAAGTGAGTGATGAAGAGATGCATTGTAGCTGATTTCGTAGTTAATAGAAGATAGTGAAGTAGAAAAAACATTAGAGTTAAATTTATGTTGATTTTAGGCAATAACTAAATCTTACAATATGTAGATAGAACTGTTAGTTGTGATTGTGGTTTATTCGACGTTTGTAAATTAGTTAGCAAAATCATTCTACTTAAAAATTTCTTGCATTCCAAGTCCAAGTTCCAAGAGTCACTTCTTGTATCTCTCCTCCTCTTTTTATAACGGCTCTTGTAAAGAAATGGTAAAAAATCTAATAGATGATCAATTTAGTTTGTGTGTTAAACAATTATTGGGATATGAATGTAAATCTAGATTATAGTAGTAGATAGCCTTGATTTTGAGTTAGAAATGATCCTTAAAGAAGTACTGCACTGTATGTGTATTTAAAGTGTAATTAATTTATATTGGAATCATTGGTTAATATTATTTAAATCCCAAACACAAATGTAAAAGCATAAAACTTATAGATGTTGTTCACGTTACCACAAAATAATACAATAACAATGTTGTTCCAACTTATACATTAGTGTTCAAGGTTCATGACCCATAATTACATATATTTATTTTATCAAAAATTAAAATGGAAGTAAATATTAATAAGATAGCTTAACCAATGCCCTTTGAGACACACGGAAATGCACGACAACACAAATTGGATTTCTTAGAGGATGTTTGTTAATACTTTTTAGAATTAATGTTGTGTTTACACAAATGTTCTTAACTGTGCAAATCACTTCACTTAAGAATTAACCTTGAGTTGATTGCTTGTACATACGGAATAAAGAATGGAAGGAAAAAATAAGTTACAAATAGTGAAGAAATTAATCAGTATAAGGCAGTGATATAGCATTTTATAATTTCGTAATTTATTAGTAGTACTCGTATAAGTACCTAAGTGTTTATTTAAAACTAGTATACGTAGTTACGAACATGGTTACTATTTTTTCTGTAGATTTTTGTTTGAATAGTTTTTGTTTTAACAGCATTCTGTACATACGACTATATCGTACATATTTTTAAATCATTTTGTTAGGGAAACTAAACTATCACAATTAACTAACATAGCCATATGTAAATTATCCTTTTTTGAACCGAGATCAATCTGGCATAAACGAAGTCCGAATTTACACGGACCAAGACTCGAGGACCACGGTTCCAAGACTGGGTCAGGAACTGGAGCCGGGGTTTTCTCACAAGACCCAAACATGCACTAGCGTTAGGCCAACAGATCCATATTCCGATACGAATGTGTGGCAATAACTTGAACCTAAATGACCTCTGGTGTTGTCTTCGAATGCCATCAAGCATTGGAGCAGCTTACCACAACAAATGGGGTGCTCCTCCAATGGATTAAAGGGCATAGTAATTCACACGGGAATGACGCTGCAGATGAGTTGGCAAGGAGGGCTCGGCAACCCCGGCCGCCGTTCCAACCACACTCCTGCCACTCCCTTTTAACCAACTTAGATCCTGGGTTAGACAGCGTAATCGTGTAGCGCACGACCGAAGTTGGAAAAACTCACCCGGCTGCAGACAGTCTAAACTGGTGCTGACTGAAGTCTGACCACGACTTACTTGCAGACTGATCGGTCTTAGCAGACTAGATATCCGAATAGTTGCAGGAACCATAACAGGACACCTAGCCCTGAACCGACAACTATTCATCGTTAATGCGACGGACAGTCCTCTTTGCAGAGGACGCCTGAAAGCCGCCCACGTATACCTGAAATCCTGGTCCCTTCATTTATAATTTGAAACTATAAACCAAGCAATTTGTTATTAGTGGACACTAGCCCATTATTGACTGATTACTAATTCTTGCCTTTATATTGGCTAGAATATTACACACTGGTTTCACATGAAATAAAACTATTTTTGAGCCTGTTAACTGTGTAGCCGTTATATGTATGATAATGTTATTTGCAACAGTTTACTATAAGCATCGCATAGAATTTGCCAAATGAATGTCTGTAACATATTAATTTGTGTAAAACGGGTTTTATTCTAAACACCGATTTTTGTGATAACGAAACCTAACACGTTTTCAAAAATAAATTACCAAATGTAGTCAATAAGGATACTTTTATAAGGTTTTTTGTGGAATACCAAAAAGGGTATTATTCGTTGCTAAAATATTGTCTTCTACAAAATCGTTCGGTATATATAAGACACTATGTTCATTATAGACTTAAGTATTGCTGTATATTCTGAAACATAATAAACTCTAAATTGATTCGGAGAATAATTGATATATTGTACAGCTTTATGGCCTACATAATTAATTTCAACCTTCGGATTCTGATAGTGCTTTATATATTGTGTGCATAGTGCATATTTCAATTTAAAAAAACAAAGAAAAATGTTGCACTTTCAATTTAGCATACATTTTTCTAAAATCAATTCTTCAGAACTGATGCCTGCCTGCCCAGTTTTGCTAAATCTAGCGTAATGTATCCACAGAATTCTTCTGTACTTGCGTACCTATGTGTAACTTCTGTAATGTGTGATGATTGTAGTCTTTCTTACCAGGTATTAGTTATAGCATAATCGGATGTTATAACGTATTTGGGTTCTGTTATTCTTAGTGAGGCATCGTAGCGCCGAAATGGCTGCAAGAATTTTGATTTCTTTTGTTTCGAAAATAAATGCATCGAGAGCCGTAGGCGATTGTGATGTTCACTTTTGTCGGTATTTCTATTTTAGTCGAAACGTACTTATGACAATCAAGCTAATGACACAAATTAGAAACTTATATTCTACAAGATTACTAATCACTAAAACAAACTACTAAAATACCTTATGACTTAAGCATAATTTTAAAAACTTTGAGTAATATATGTAAGAAGGATTAAATTTTTAATACAATAGCATATTAGTTTTGTACGTGGTGTTTACGTACCTATAACAACAAATAAGGCTGGAGCAGAAAGCGGGTGGGGCGGCACGTGCAGGCATCATATGTGCGAAGGCACGTTGTCACTGTATAGAAGTAATTTACCATTGAATACATCACACGGTCAAATCGCTCTCGTCATTATAACTGATCACAAAAGTCCCTTCTGTTCTGCCCCAACCTTTATGCTCATAATATGTGTATTTAATATACTATTCGTCCGCCTTTGTGTTTTATATGTACCTAATAGGATAATAATAAAAATAATAAACAAGCTATTTTTTCTTACCTATTGATGTGTGCCTGTGTTGGAAGTTCAATTTTGTTATGTAGCCTTGTTAGACTTTCAAACGTCAAAGTGTTGTGTGACGCAATCTTCTTTCGACCCTTGTGATCTAAGTATTTTCAAACCTTACAAAAATGGTAACTACAATTCCCTGTAATATTTGTATTATCGCTATACTACTATATTATTCTCCCTCTGTCCGCCGTCTTCATGCGTGCGATTGCATAATGCGAACATATTATGATTACTAAGGAGATGGCGGAGCGGGACCGGGAGAGGTTCAGAACTCTGCCGGCCCGCCAGGCCCTGAGAACGGGCGCAGGCCTGAGGGTGACAGGCGAGGCCTGTAGAAGAAGAATTGTTGCTGTAACCCACTGACACTAACACACTGTAGTTGGCGATACCAGTCAGTTCTCAATTTGTCTGTGTACTTATATATGTTTGTATACTAAGGGTTGCGTTGATAAATAAAAGACGATATTAACACCTTTTACATATATTTTACTGACAATATTTACACAATAATTTATTTTAGTGACCACACTTATTGAGCTAGGCATATTGTATGAAATGTGCATCAAGTATGTATTATTGTAATTGAATTACATTACAAGTAGAGTAATAATTTATACTTAGAGGATTTGGCAGGATTTTGCTTGACGAAAGTCATTTTCCAGATGCTAATGCGCGTTCATTGCTGTATCACATAAATACATACATAAAAATGTTTGATGGTAAAAATCAACTATATATAAAATATAATAAGTATTAAACCTGCACTATTCATAGCAATAACAATTTCATATAATACAAATAAATTACAGGCGCGACAAACATCGTATAAGAAGTTAACGACATCAAGTATTATACAATAAAATTTGACGAAAATTGTAAATTTCACTAAATATTGGCACAATGTAACGCAATTACTAGCCTAAATTGTCTAGGGTGTTTTCATATTCGTAATATGACAAACCAATTAGATATTTTAAAAATTGAGGTCAACCTGGATATTTCATTAAATTCAATCAGTTCAATATTCAAAATATTATGAAAATATGACAAATTACTAAGTACATTTCATTGTGAAACATGAGCTTTTATTCTGTCTGAATGTGATAAACTATAAAAATCAGTACACTTTGCGGTCGTATGTGTAAAATATAAACATTATTCACTACACTGGAATAAAATATGTAAACTATATAAATAATTACAATGCTCCAGGCATTCGATAAAGCAATATTGAGAATGTTTATACTATTCACAGATAAAGAGAAAGTTAGAGCAAACCTGCTCCTTCCTTTAATGTGATACAAATAGTACAAAAGCGTTACTAAAGATCTCGTGTATCATGTGTACTATAAAGTATAGGATAGCCAAAAATTTGTGATATGACAGCTATAGAAAATATTCGTAATTTTGAGATCCATTCCGTCGCGAAGCTCATCAGCAAACAGAACGTTCCAAAAAGCTTCACTTCACTGCACTAACGCTAACTATTTGTAAGTGTTTACTACAAAAATGTTAGCTTAAGTCCCATTCACTGGATAACACTATTTTAAGTATCACATGTCCTTCTCTTTCTTTTCACGTTTAATGACATTATACTGTATTTACTTCCAGCTTGTGCACTATACAAATTCATTTGTACCCGGCGTATTGAGAGGTTCCTGGGCCTGAAAAGAGAAGATATAAATTATTATATTGCATTTTATAAATATAAAGAAAAAAGCTAATTATCTCTAACATTCTAAATGCAAATTAATTCGCAGTCTGACGTAAAATGTAAAGGATAAACGGCTGCGTCTACATCCAACTTACCATTAATAATGCCCTCGCATGTTAACGCATGAAAAATAAATATATCGGCAGTAAAATTGTATTAGTGAAGTCTATGTTAAGCATTAGGCAGATTACAAAATCATATATGCTATTTAAAAGGGACTATTTACAGCATTATACACCTACCACTTAGAGCCAATAATTTGGCAACTATAATTTAATACTGATGCGGTAAAAATGTTGGCACATTATAAATTGCCACAATCTTTAAATCTAAATGAAAATATTTTCTATAAATCCTTAAAACAATTTCTAGTAAATATAACTCTAAATACATCAAGTTTAAAATGTCTTAGGCAGACCTTATTATAAGATTTTACTATAGTAAAATAATACTAGTTCACTTTGATATTTACATCTTTATCATTTGGCCAAGTTTTACACGGGGTATAATTAATTTTATATAAGAAATTGTAGTGATGTCTTTGGAAAATAATGTCTTAGTTTACAGTAAAAATATATGAAAATTAAGTTAATGCCGGTGATCGTTTGCACCGACTTGATAATTGGCTTTGCTTAGGGCATCTCGTCCTCGTGTGACTTATCTCAGACTGTTTTGTATGTTAAGCGTACACTCCATAGCAGTTAATGCTCTCACCTCTTCGCCCACAGTGCTAGGGTACAGCTTGCTGCCTGGTGCATAGCCATTCTTCTCGAGCGCAAATTGGTCCTCCGTAGTCTTGCGGTACACGGGATTATCAAAGTTCATTGAGGTAACATTACGGTGCACGTAATGTCTGTACATAACCACTGCGATCTGAAAGGAGTAGTTATCATTAATTTTACACGTGATATTCACTAAACGTCTTAAGAGTCAGGCAACTGATGAAGTCTCCCGGCCGCCGGTCTTCGCATCAAAGAAGTTCTAACTTCTTTATTTTCTGGATATCTATATATAATAAATTGTTCTAACAATTTATTATATATAGACACAAAATGAGTCAGTAAAGCGATAAATTTAGATAATTTATTACTCTACTGGATAATTGATTTATCATGCGATGATTGCAGTGAAATTTTTGCGGGTGCGCTAAATAAGTACATTCTGAGAAAATACAGATTGAGAAAGTAATTTTCCGTATCACGCGTTTTTCCAACTGCCACTGCCCGCCCATGTATAGTTAGCTCTAATATATCGTTAATTGATTGTGTCGGCTAGCCGACGTAACAATTGACGGCTAGTTTGACTTAATAATTAGTCCTAAATACTTAATTGGTTGCTTACCAGTGCTGCCAATATCACTACACCAGAGATTACTGCCACTACAACGCCTGCAACCATGCCGGCATCGCGACCGCTGCTTGAGATTCCTGTGCCTGTTTTGGGTGTTTCTGGTACACCTAGAATTAAAAATTAACATATTATGACAATGTCAAATGACTCGTTTGGTCGAAACTCAATCTTGCAACGTATCCATTTATATGCAGTGACAGAGGCGAAAGTTTTTATCGAATTTATTGCAAAATTTAATCCTGACCACATAATATGTAAAGACAAAAATTATAGTGAGTTGAAAACTTTTCAATATAGCGAAATAAAATTATTTACTTAAAAATACGTTGCAAAGCACCTGGAATTAGTAAGAAGGAAATATGTAATTAATTAACGCTAGCGAGTTGTGAAACCTCCACCAAATTAATCTATTTAGAAAGGTGATGCGAAGTTATAATATGTTAAATCAAAGTGCATTGTAAAATGTACAAAACGAGTGAAAATAAAATGAAATTAAATTTGTTATATGGATGACATATATTACATAACTCATAATGTGATTTGAAAATTATGACGAAGACGCGTGGCTTGTCAAATAAATATACAGCTTGGAGACTGTCGAGTTGTAATAGTGTTTCAACATTTAACGACCAATGCAGCAGCAATGTGAAGACACGCCTTATTACAGTGACGTAGTTTTCCACGTAACAAACGCATAGGTACATACCATCATACGGTGTCGGTTAACTCGATTTTCTTACAGCTAATTGTCAATTTATGTTTGCGATGACGTATAACCGAATCGTTCTAGGTGTTCTATTTAAAGCTAGTGTCAATGAAACGTGCCAACGACTGCTATATACTTAACCGAAATATCTTAACCTACTTTCACATTGCATATCGATAAATTCTTTAACTTACATAAGTCATAAGTTCTAGTATTTCATTGTCATAGTATAGAAATTTAACAAAAGCCCTTAAACTTTACAAGATTAATAACAATAGCGATTATTGAGTTTATCTTTAGGTAGATTAAACTAAGCGGAATGCTTGCCAATTGTGTTTACAATTTCATAGTTGATGGGTTTACCTTCAATAAAGAAGCTTCAGAATGTTGGCAGCCCTAATTTCCTTAATTAAAGTAAATGTAAACAACGTATTTCATAAGAAAATATGTTTGTATGTTAGCAACTTGATATTTTGTGTTAGGTACTTATTAGTTACAAATAGCATTATGCACCATGCACCCAGCTCATAATGAATCTGTGTGTCTTCCCGTCGGTTAACGATATAATATCCCAGATAAAAAGAAAAACACGTAGTTATATAAAATTATAATACGTTACCCTCAAAATTGATATGTTTCAGGGTTTCAGGTAAATGAGCCAAACTGAGTTTTTCAAACTTATAATGAGATTCTTTGACGGGTTTCTCAGTCGCGTCTGGTATTCTTTCCAGAGCGCCCGACCCTTTCAGGAACAGATCTATAAACTGCTGATTATTATTTCCCAGATCACGTTTGTCAGTCTCCCAATACACCTTCATTGGATCAGCTTGAGGTTCCACGGATGTAGAAACTTCAGAAGCTTCTTTTTCCTGAGGTATTTCAGTAGTATCTTCGTTCTTCAGACTCCCACGAACCAGTTTCAGGAGAAGGCCGAGCCCTTCTCTTTTTAAATCCACCATAAGTCTCAAGCAATCCCGTTAGTTACTATCTTTCAAAATAGCAATACATCTGTTTGTGAACTAGCAGATTGACATGCCCTGCAAATCAGTCAAGGAATCCCATGTTGAAGACACACAGATATTGTTTGTACACTCATAGTGAACTGTTGTTAGTATAATGATGTGATGAGTATTAGTAATGATCGATACCCATGGCCAGTTTTTATATGCGTATTCTATGGACGATAGCTAAATCTTATCGGGCGATATGATGAAATGATCCGACCATACCAGGAAACAATCTTTTTATCAACATTGTGGCGTATTCATTAAACTGATACTTAACCGAAACTTCATTCACAATTTGCAACTCTATTACTTAAAGCAAGGTTAGTTCCACGTTCACTTTTGTTCAGTGGATTGGAAAAACGCCACAAAATTGATTTACTTATTGATCCTTTATTAAATCTGTGAGAAATTTTAGGGAATGGTTTAACGTAAACATTTATATGTAGGCACCAAAATACTCACTGGTTACAGGTTTTTCTTCGTTTATAATTGGACCAATAGTCGGTTTATTATGCACCTCCACATCTGGTTTTATTGCATCTGTAGATTTTATTAAATACAACTTAAAATGCTTCCAATCCAAAAAAATTAAATTAAGTTTTCCTTTATAAGGTAGCGGTTTGTATATTTATTGCACAGCGCAACTATTTAGACGCGAACACGACACACGCGACACGTATAAAGTTCCGAAACCGAATGAGACAGCTCGAAAAATCCGGTCGCGTGTAACCGCCATTGACGTTCCACTACTTAGCCGTTCTGTCAGTTTAACTGAGCGCGATCCGGCTCGCGCTTAGTAAATAAGCATCATTTCCCATTTCACTCGATATTTGAATTTACACTACATTTACATTACATCAAACATTTTAGGGAATTATATGCTGTTAGGTTAAGTCAATTGTTTATAATGCTTTGTTATTAATTTTTGTATTTATAAGTACTGTACATCTCATATTTAGTTTCTTACATTACACTTTAATGAAATTGCCAGATGTGATTAATCCACAAATGTATTTATACATTCGTAGTCCAAGTCTGTCCTTTAACTTAATCTTAACACGTTGGACGCCATGTGGCCCACCATGTGTGCCAACAGAGAAAATCAGTTGGAGCCAAAGCAAAATCTTATTTCTGATATTTTTTCAAATGTTGTTTTATTACACTAATCGATGAGAAATATGATATTTGGTACTACTAATTAGAAACAACAGCTTGTGTATGCCTAAATCCTTAGATTTAGTAAAATGGCACACGGGTGGGCCGCGTGGCCTAATTGGAAAAAAATGCGTATTTCGTTCCGCAGGGGCCACAGGGTCACACTGCGGCCCACCCGCGCACCTCATCATTTTTGCTGTGATTATTGCCGTGATTAAGTTTTCTATTGTTTATAATGGATGTAGATGCCTTTGAAGACTTTGTTCTAAGTCAAGAGGACTTATCAGAAATTGAAAATGTTGAGATAAACCTCCTAAATAACAGTTTTCAACTAAGTTCGGATGATGAATTGAATAACGTTTCATCACGTACAAAGCGTCGACGTATTTTGCTCTCCGAGTCCGAAGAAAGCGACTATGAAAATAGGGTTATTCCTGATACTTCAGGTAAGTAATTATATTTATAATTTTGCTGTTACAATGTATGTAAGTAAGATATATCAATACTAATATTATAAATGCGAAAGTAACTCTGTTTGTTTTTAGTTTGTATGTTTGTTTGTTTGTTACCTTTTCACGAGCTAGCGGCTGAACAGATCGTAATGAAATTTAGCAAGGAAATAGATTACATCCTGGGACAACACATAGACTGTCTTGTCACAAAAAAATACCCAGAAGGGGGTGATAAAAGGCCTTTGAAAACAAAGTAAATATAACGTACCCACATGAATTTCTTTTTAAGTAAAACAAACCTAGATTTACTCTTTACGATCCTACCCACGTTTCGTAAAATTTAATGCGTGCGAAGCCGCGGGCAAAAGCTAGTTTTTACTAAAAAAAACCTTTTTGGGCAATGGCTTAGGTTGACCTCGAACCCGTATTTTGCTATCCGGGAGACTGTTCGAAGGTGTGTTGGTAGCTTTAGGTTAGAGCTGTCGCGTAAAAATAAAAATTACCTCAGAGATTAGAAACCAGTAATTTAAAATTGAAGGTTTGAGAATGCGTGCGTGTTTGTGTGTTCTCTTGTATAGGCGCGAGCGCGCGTGTGTGTGTGCGTGCATGTACGAGTATATGCGTTCATGTGTCTGTGTGTGTATGTTTACTTATGTAATATAACTAAACTATCAAAAGTACCTATATCAAACTTGAGAGCAATTCGTTTATATTTTTCAGGTAGTATGTCTTCGGAAAACTGGATGACGCCTGTAGGTAATTAACGAACTATTATACCTTACACTGAAATGCCTGGTCTTCCGCTACTACACCGTAATAGAATGACTATAATGTTGTGTCATATACTGGCGCCATTTAGCAGACTAATTTTGTTAGATCTCTTTTAGAGATTTATTGGAATTTTAGTGCTGTTTGTTATTTTGTATGTACCTAAGTACTTTTTATTTTGTCATAAATAAATAATTTAACCTTTGTTAGAGAGAGAGAAAGATAAGACTTAAGAAACTTGTGTCATACATATTAAAATGCAAGTTCTTGGTGTTTTTTTTAGCCCTATAACAAAATAAGTGTTAAACTTTTAAAAACTATTTATACAATATCAATAATAAAAATATTACATTCAGATTCAATTATTTTTTTCTATAAAAACCCCTTTTACCAGTTTATTGTGTATGAAGTTTAGAATAACCCCAAAAAAGTAATGAAAATCGTAAATATATTCTAAGTCTTTTGCAACACACGAAAACCAAGCTGACTAGATTGTTCTATAGGGCCACGCGGCTCACTCTACAACATTTTTGTATGATATCTTTGCTTGGTGGCCTGTAAAACAGGTTTGAATCGAAGTCCTCCTTTGGGTCACCGGTGACCCCCGTGGCTCCAACAGCTTAACATGGTTTGGCCCACCGGTGTCCCCCATGGCTCCAATGAAACAAACGGCTTTTTGTGTGGCGTTCAACGTGTTAATTTTAAGGCAGAGTATAATTCAGTTTACAATATAAGCAACCCAGTATGAGGTAACATTCATGCGCATGCGGCGTGCCGGATCGCGTCGTTCCACTCTAAACAAAAGGTGGCGTGATGCTGACGTCACGTCGCCTTACTCTCGATCTGTTTGACTATTGGGTGTGCGTTTTCATCACTACGATTTACGAACACTACTGTACATATGGGTCCTCGAGTGCACAAGCACCTGTGAGTGAGGTCATACTCACAGGTAAATAAAAAAAGTGTTTTGAGTCAATAGCTCTGCCGATTAAACTAATACTTCGAAACAGTCCCATGCCACTTCGAACACTCTATGACAGTGCCATAATCTTTATTATAAACCTGCTTGTAAGTAATCTAACCAAAAATTATCGATTACAGTTACCCACTTAAAATATTTGGGTACGAGATTTATGTATACAAATAAGCAAAAATCCCTGATTACGCGATATACCATTTAATCACTTTTATAGTAAAATTAATACGTTGCAATTGGTGTGCCAATCTCCGATATCAGATCGTATTTTTTCCGTGATAATAATGTTATACATATAAAAAATGTATTAATCATATCCAGTCATACGAAAAACTAACACATGACAAACCCATCGTACGATATGTCGTCATCGTCATTGAATGACGTGGTGGTATTTGAGGGCGGCGGCGCGATCGCGCGACCGTGTATTTTTAAAATTCATGCCGATGCTCAAGTGGCCTTGCATTGCCTCTGCTAAATCATTACGAAAATTATCGCATCAAGGATTTAAAAGTTTCCATGTTTTCTTGGGTGTCGTCTTAAGATGATGTAATAGTAAAATCGTGACTGGAGATTTTGATGCCGACAAACCATAAAAAGATATTTTCTTGAACGCCTCATAAAAGTATGCTTATTGCTGCAGCTGATACTGTACCTATATAATTTTAACATTCTCTACACCTTAAACTTTAAACGTCTGGATTTTATATAAATCACATACCGTGTATTTATATACTTCATAGTATACCTATATTTATATATATATATATGCACAAGAAATCACGTCGTCTTACTTTACAGACATAAAATGGTATCCGTCTGGTATCAAATAGTCTCCGGCGATTAATTAAGAAATAAGTCAAATTTATAATTCAACATTTTTATTCCTACTAGAACATATGTTTTTTTGTTTCTTTTTGTTATTTATTTTTATTGCAACGATTGCATTTTAGGACAATATTGGATTATTTATTACATTATTTGGAGTAAATTAATTAATAACCTAAAAGTTTCATAAATAAATGACCGACCAAGCACTACTACAGGCTAAGGTCAGATCCTTTTTAAGTGTTGAAACTTACATAATTTACGTTTTTTAGATTTCTTCTTTTTATATAGTATTGAGCGTCGAGCGAGGTTAAAGCATTAAAAAAGCCGCATCCGCATTACTCTATGACTTCCAAGTTTAGTGATACTTTATAATTTCAATTACTCTATGGTAATATATGATGCAATTTTGTTAATATTATTTTGTGATCCGCGTATTGTTTTCTTGTTCTTTCTTTCACGTATTCAATCCATCCTCTAAAACTCTCTTCGCTATATTTTGCTCCGTATCTTATTTCCACATCACGATCATCTTTAGCTACTAAACTTTTATCCACCGGCGCTACTATCAGACTCCCTGTCATACACACAATATCTTTTTTGACGATCCTATGTCCAACTGGAGCACTGACGTTATCGACAACACTATGCCAAGAGTAGTTACATTTAACCGCATTTTATTTTTATAGATAAATTAAATTATAATGATTATGATAACCAGACTTATAATGAACACGATATCTTAGATTAGCATCAGTATAAATAAAATATTACAACTTTTACCTAATACTAGTAAATCATTACATTTGTCCGTGTGGTGACGGATTAAGAATACAAATTGTCACCACCCCAATTCATCCCGTGGGTGTCGTAAGAGCCGACTAAGGGAGCAAACTAAGCAGGACAACAGCACTGCAAAGAGAAGGAAAACTTAAAACAAACCCTATACCAACCCTGAAGGCCAGCGTGGTATAGTAGGCCAAAACCTCCTTTCTAAGGAGAGGCCTATGTCCAGCAGTGGACTAGTATAGGCTGTTGATGATTACATTTTTGAACGACATATATTCATATTAGCTGTCGACTTATCTCTTTTTTTCATTGGTAATATTGTAAGTGTAAAAATAACGATCTGTCGGTTCTTTCCATTTTCAATAGCTAACCTTATAGTAATAATTTAATATTTTATTCGTACTTACCTATTGTTGTCTCTATACATATAAAATGGTTATATTGCCGCGAGTCACTAAAGCGGTTGTATTGTATATTACGTAGCTGTGCGTTGTTCATATCAGTTTGATCAATCATTACTCGCTATAGTTGCTACCAATCGTACTAAATGTCTTGTTTATTGACCCATTCAATTGTACTTAAATCAACTCCAGAATGTAGCCAATAAACGATGATCGAGTCTATAAGGAAGTCTAAGAACGATTCATCATTGTATATTTAATAATACTGTTAATTTCGAATGTTTTAAATTTATGTCATATTGCGAAAATTGCAAATAAATTCAAGAATTATGAAAAGTAATTTTAAACAGACAGAATTAGTTCTGAAATTCTCTTCGGTTTCGTTCGGCAAATACGTAATTATTTTAAACGAATAATTTTCCAATGAAGTTTATTCTTACCTATTTATTAAGTTTCTTAATACAAAATATATCATAAAATATATGTATAATATATCTTCAGTATACAAAATAATATATTCTCAAGCAAGAAGACATATTATAAATAAAATTTCTCTAGCGTTCTATTGTATTGTAATTAAGCCAGAACATAGAAGTGATTGATCTTTGATTTAAATTTAATCTTTTAAATTAATTCTCATTATTAATTACTTATTATTTAATGGAAGTCTAGTTGTAAGGAATTTTATCGTCATTGCTACGTAACCTTTTCAATTAGTTGTGGCTGAATGATTGCATATTATCATTGCATAAAGCGAATGCAGATTCATGATGTTGGTTTTTAAAACTATGGCACGTAGGTACTTGGCCTTGCACGTGCCTTTCATACTGTTTTTAAAATATTTCTATTGTACCAAACCGTAGGTATTATTCGCTAACAGACCTTTCATGTAATCTGCAATTTTTTAATCTTGGCACTGGTATATTATAACCCCGTGGCTACTTCTTTTGTTTTATCCAACAAAAGCAACAAGATATTTTTCAGAGTAGGTTTATATCAGCCAAAGAGCCTGATGCGTTTATAATTGTACCATTTTACTGCTTATTGCATTAATTTAATTTTTATTAAAACTACGGGTAATAGGTTTTCTTCGTTTTATAGAATAATTGAGCTTAAGGTATATATGAAACAATAAATACTGTGTGTATTAAAGAAACGTAAATATTTCATGGAAATTCGCTTCCTTGTTTCTGATTATACGTATTTAGTTATTTTATTTTATCTGTAGTATATTACAAATGCGCATTTTTAATTACAGATATATTACCTAATGAAATAATTCGAATAATTACAAATGTGCAATTGTGGTAAATAAAAGAAAATAATATACAGTTACAGACTCATAGTATTTATACATAGCTAAAGTTTATGTTTATACCTAAGCGTATGTAGTTACATACACAAACTGTATTTCCACATAGAGCAGACAATACCAACCGGGAATAAATAGGTAAGTACCTATATAAAACATGCCATGCAATCTTTCACACAAAAAATTTAGTCCTATTACCATCAAAATCGTCATTTAAAATGTTACAAACAACATGTCTGACGTCTTTAGTACTCAGTACAATTGAAAAACGTCAATACAGTAAACGGTTTCATTGAATAATAGCCATTGCTGTCTCAACGTGCTACACCATTACGTACGTAATGTATCACATACTTTAATTATCCGAAATCACAATTTCTATTCAAATAATCGCATTAAGTCTTATCATCTTAAAATGATAACGAACACGAGACAGCTTTAAGCCTGTATAACATTTTATCAAAATAATTAATCTTATATCTAGACACACAATGTTATGTTTTATTTAAAGATCGCGATAAACCACAATATGTCGATAGACGTGAGTCAGACGCTTGGACGCCGATTAATTTATATAAATACTTAAATATAGAATGCTGAAAAAAAACACCGCTTAAGATAATAGGTTGCTGTATATCAGACATATAGAGGTAGACTTACTATGCATTCATACAGTCCAGACTATAATGTCATAAACAGTTGATGACCTTAAATTATGAGATTACACTATATCACTAAGAATATTATATTTATAATAAATATGCTGTTTGAATCTCAACTTTTTATTATTAAGTTCTTTCATTAAATCTAAATAACGTAACAGCGAATATTCGAGTAATGACTCTTTTAAGACCTTGGGATGTCGTTACGTTTCATTATCATTATTATAGCTGTATCTACAACGGAGCTCTGTGTTTCGGTTGTTCTTATTTTGCTCATTAAAATGAGACTGCCTGATACAACAAGAGTACACATATAATAATATATCAGCATTAATTTATTGCATAAAATTTTCCGATTTCGTATATCTGTGAAATAGTACAGAAAATAGATTCAAAAGCTGCAAGTAAACATTTTATTAAAAAGTAAATAAAATAATATTCTAGTTAGCTTTATTTAAAATTTAATAAACATGTTCTAAGATTTTACGGTACCTACCTACTGATTAAAAATGCAGGTGTCATTCGGTCGGAGGCCAAAACAAAGCGGACGGGTTTGTCATTTATATGCGGAATTACAAATAACTTTAATTACCTAACAATTTTATGATAACGAGAACAAATATGTTTTTGACTTTCACCGTCAATAAATAAGGAATCTCATAGAATAAATTGGAAATATTGACATTCTTGCCATTATGTCACGTTCAAGCGCTGCTTTAAATAATATATAGGTACATAATAGGATTATAACCGTGAATTTCTACGCGACAATAATTAAGGCTTAAAAACGAATATTTACTCGTATTAAATAATTATTCGGAAATATTTTTATGTATCTACTTACTACTTACAACTTATATGAACTTATTATTGTAATTTTGTATTTTAATAATTTTTTTATCTACATAATAATACCAAAAACCTAAAATACCGCTGAAATAAATTGCTTGCTTTAAAATCAGTAACAACAATTTATAAAAAAAACTGCACATGTAGTCGAAATATCCGTGACCTCGGAAAGCTATTAATACAGTCAGCATTTGAAACGTAATGAAATTGTACTTACTGTCTTCGACACACATCTGGTTGTCTGGTAGAAGTCGCAACCCATTGGGGCATGCGCACGACACGCGAGGTGAGTTTTGTCCAATGCGTGGCGCAGGCAGGCAGAGATGAGAACAGTGGCCGTTGACTGCCGCACAGTGGTTTACACCGTCAGGTTGACGATACGGGTGATAGACATGGATAACCATCGGATTTTGGAGCTGGTGAAATAACAAAGAGTTTGTACTGTTTATTGATAAATACGAAAGTTTTTGGTTCTTACACATAGTTTCATCATCATCATCAACAGCCTTTAATAGTCCACTGCTGGACATAGGCCCTTCCTTAGAAAGGAGGGCTTGACCACGCTGGTTAGACGGGTTGGTTTGTTCCAAGTTTTGCAGCTGATTGGACACACACGCGATCTGAACATTGTATATTCCTTCTTTCTTCTTTTCACCTTCTTTTTCTAACAAATTTAATATTTTTAAGTCTAATACGCTCATTTGCTAGACTAGTTGCTTCATTTCCGTTTTCTACAATTGATTAGACCTAGTACATATAAGGTTAGTGTATAGATTTTCCAATCAGTTATTACAAAATCGTTAGTTATTTAGAAAACAGCTCCATGACTAGTAGTAGTAATTAACAGTAGTAATTAACAAGTAGTAGTTAGTTATCCTATCATCATTTAACATACAAATAATTTTTTTGTCGTCGTGAAAGTAACTAAAAAGCTTTTCAATGTTCTAGACTATTCTGCATAAATTTATTCAGCACGAATAGATTTAATCTATTTACTGTTTAATAAAAATACGAAGTCGATGTTAAGGAGTTCAAGAGTTGTGTTTTGTACGTATTCGCAACAGAAATAGAAACAATTTTATTCAAACTCATATATTTAAAAAAATCTGCAGAGATATTTTCTTCATATTAAGATTATAAATAAACATAATACTCACATAAATCAATTTAATGTTACGATATACTTACATTGTGGGTTGGTGTGATTGCTTCTATATCTTTGCCGTTAAATTTATTCGCACGGTAGACCGCAGCTTTATCCCAGTCAGTCCAGTATACCCAGTCTTCAAATGTGGTGATGGAGAACGGGTGACGCAGTACGTCCGTTGAATATAGAATCACTCGACGGCCTGTTCCGTCGTAATTACACGATGATATCATGTTCATTTTAGCATCAACCTATGAAAAATAACGATTCATTGACTTACAATTTTGCCAAGAAACGGTTAAACAGACACATCTATTATCTGCAAATAAACTCATGACATGACGTTAAGAAATGTTGTACACACTAGCCTTTATAGACCTAAAGATTTCGAAGTTATACTATACGTATAAGTTTTTTATTCAAGTTCATATTTCTATGTAAAAGAAAAATTTGTTAGAATTCTCCGCAACATAAAATCACTAAACTAAGCGTAATCCGATAATGTACCGGTAAGAGAAAATATTATAATACCTTATTCATATTTTTACCGTATATTTTTGCGTGCGCTTATATTGCGAAATTTTATGAAAATAAATTGTAAAAATTTTCCAAGTTTGACTTTATAGCAAATATTGTATGTTGCTGCACTAAATAAATTTCATAAGACAATAACGAGTATTCTATAACAATAGCTGCTAACGGTTTCAGGGATTAGCATCATTAGAGTATAAAGATTTTTTGTTTGATTATGTAAGTACATACGAGCACCTATTTCGACTTTTTACCTGCTAAGTCTAAATCTGCTCCTACGTAATTACATATGACGTTCAATATGGCAACGTTTTTAAATCTACGGTTACTTATTTATATTACGAGTGGCAAGTACTGACTTATGGTTATGTTACTACTTAGCGCTGACTAATAGACTCGGTACGTATAACAATATCAAAGACATAGGTATATACCGGTACAAAAACAAAAATAACGGAAAATTTTCAACATTTTTCATTGCACTTTTTTGGTAACTGATAAATAAAAGTTGATTGATGTCTTTTCCGTTTAGGAACAACATGTTTGTTCATAAAGGTTAAAAACAAATTGACATAGCATACTTGACAAGTGAATAAACAAATCCATACCTTGGATGATGATATAGATTTACGATAATGGTGTAAATAGTTTAAGAGCATATGTTTAGTCGTCTAACAAAAATCACACAATTGAAGCGAAAACAATGCGTTTAGATAAAACAGAGTGAATTTGAAAGTATTTTCTGATCCTTTGTGAATACTTGTATTATTGGCAACTTACCCAATAGACGCGTTTGCGCACAAGATCCAGAGTCAGACCATTCGGCCATTTGACGTCATACGACACTATGGTTTGTCGGTGAGAGCCGTCCATTCCAGCACGCTCAATCTTCGAAACTTGACCCCAATCAGTCCAGTACATCCACCTATATTAAAAGAAAACAGTTTTTCTTATATATATTACTAGGATATATAAATATAGTGGACTAGTAAAGGCTGTTGATGATGATGAAGATATATATTATTAATATATAAATACTGCCACTAGTGGGTAGTTTTAAATGATTTTGACTTGCAATTTTTCATGGACATAAGTCCATTTAGTCCAATCAGCTAATTTTCGGTCTGTTTGTATATATATAATGACATATTAATTTCATAGGTAATAACAGAAATCCCCTGAATTCAGCCTAATATCTTATATTATCTAATATCAATCACTAGTTTAATGATGTTGGCGCTTACACATTTTCAATTACAGATTTTAAACATTATGAGTATTGATAAAATATTTGAGACTGGAAATTTCGACCAGACTCATTTATACCTATCAAAATAATCATTTATGGAGATGACTCGTATGACAGTGTGCTCTGGACAGCTCGAAATAATGTCACGTTCCTCATCCAATTGATCGTATTTGCGTCTGTCAATGAATGTTTAAAGAAACAAAACATCAATCAGTGTTAACAAGGACATGACTCGCGATCGTTTTAGCAAACGTTTTTATTTATTGGGACAGCAGAAATCAGTTCTGATGCAGTATTTAAATCGTTAATAGGAAACATAATCAAGCTACAAATCAGCGTGACGTTCCTTTGCTGTAAAAGTTGAATCGAATTGTGTCAGTTCTAAGCACGTAGTCTGTCTTATCGCTAGAGTTAAAAAAAAATCGTTCACTTTTATATTTTTATGATAAAGTCTTAAAAGGTGTTTTCCTATAACCTCTTATTTTTTTTATTTTTTTACGTATTGAAACCCCCTCGGGCCGTCACTCCACCGGGGTTTATGTATGTCGGAATCGGACCGACTAAACGACCACACTGCGCCTGTAATAGGAGAGATCCGGGAACTGCTATTATTAGGACATCCGGACCCCTTCTAGCGCCTGCCCACAATGGCGCGGGCAAAATCTTTGGGTACATTCTCCGTTTAGCAGGCACACGCGTACGTTGCCTCCTCGACGACGGCGACCGTTATGGCGGGTGGAGGGAAAAACCCGTCCCGTTCACCCGCGGCCACACTTAGGGCGGTGATAAGCGCCTCCGCCGCCCGGTTCGTCGGCGACGAATTGGGTCCGACTAGAGATTGTCCTCCCGGGTTCTCTCCGCCGCCTCATTCTACGAGATAACATTATCGCAACAGGATGCGACCGCGGTAAAACATCTGTCACTACCGGCCATGGAGCGTACGAGGCATGCCTTTCAAGTTTTGTCGTTTGAAGAAAAAAACACAACTACAACCTTATAGTACTTTTTATTGTTTTTTAAAGTATTCACCACGTAGTTTAATACACTTTTCCATTCGCTCAAACCAGTTATTATAACATGTATTCCACTCTAAAGTGGGGGTGTTCGAAATGGCTTGAAAGCGTCGACTGCTTCTTCACCGGACTGACCTTTGACCACGAAGACTTTTCTTAATTTTAGGAAATGTAAAGAAATCTTTAGGGCTTAGGTCAGGACTGTATGGAGGATGGTCAAGAATTTCTACTTTTTCCTGCTTCAAATACTCAATCGTTTGACGAGCGCTGTGTGAGCTTGCGTTGTCGTGATGCAGGATGATGCGTCGCTTTGAGTTAGATTTTCGAAGTTCGGCGATGACTTGTGGTAAACAAACTGTGGTATACCACTCTGCGTTAGCCGTTCTACGATTTTCAAGTGCAATAGTCGCAACATGACCGGTTTTTCCAACGAACGTGGCCACGTTGTTCGTTCTCGAAGCACTTCAAAGAAGATGTTCTTGAAGTGCTTCGAGAACGAACAACTTTAGTCGGCTTTGGCTCATCTTGAAAGACCCAGATTGTAGATTGTTGTTTGGAATCAGGATCGTAGGCATAGATCCAAGATTCGTCACCACTGATGATGTCGTAGACGTGATATGACTCTCCTCGGTAAAACCTTTGCAGAGTTTTCTTACACCATCAGAGGCGGGCCGACTTGTGATCGTCGGAAAGCAGATGCGGTATCCAACGGCAAACTAGCTTTCTCACACCAAGCGCTTCATGTAAGAACCTCTGAATGGTTGTCCCTGAGATGTCTAATAGAGCCTCTATCTCTCAATACGTCACATGACGATCTTCGAGAATTAGTTGTCTCAAGGCAATGATATTATCTTCAGTGAAGGCGGATTTTGGGCGTCCTTCGCGAGATTTGTCACTAACACTAGTATGTCCACGCTGGAATTCTAAATACCAGCGTTCGACAGTCCGCAGACATGGGGCTTCATCACTGAACACAGATGTTAGCTCTTCAAAACACTGTAACCGTGACTAAACAATAGCATTAATCCTAATACTTTTAACTGTTTTGAGATTAAAAATTTAAACACATTCGAATATAGAACAGTTCCAAATTCAAAATTGCCGGAAATATGAAAACGACAGAACTTAAAAGGCATGCCTAGTATGACTGCCGTTATCGAGAGGTCCCCTCCGATGACTGCAATAAGGACCCGGCGCTGCGGCAGTTTAGCCTTTCTAATAGTGCTGAAAAGCGATTCCATTTATGTTTTAATCATACAATAATGATTCAATTACTTAGTTTTCGTCACTAGGTTATGTTTTAGGCATGTCCTTTGCTATATATTTAAATTCCTCGTAGTGTCCACCAATTTAATTAGCTAATGCAGCATAATTAATTAACTCAGCTTGGACCAAGTTTATCAAATATAAGAGAAAGATATTGGCAACAACGCAGTCTAAGGGCAAAACTATTATAATAATAATAACTTTACACATCCTGAGGTTATACGTGTGAAGTTATTATTATATGGCACTCTGTCCCAAACTAGGCAGACCCTGTACTATAGTAACATGACTACTGATAAACAAACTCATATATTTCTAAATACATACATCATATTAAAGATACATTACTCCCAGACGTAGAACAAATGATCGTGCTCATCATATAATATTTGTCCTGTGAGCAGTCAGGACACTAACCACTAGACCAACAGATCTGTCAACTGTTTCCCCCTAATGCAGAGAAATCAATTTTTTTCATCTTCATTTTTGCTTTTCCATATTGTTGTACATAAATAACTGCACGGATGGCGTACTGGTTTAAGGGCGGTCGCCACGCCGCTTACTACTACGCCGGGTGTTGTGGGTCCAATCCCCACATGGGGCAACACATCTATGTATGTGTTCGTGTATAAGTGAATGTACATACAATATATACATTTGGATATATTATGTACAAATTCAAAGAGACGAAACTAATATGTATGTGTGAACTGTTATGATCACAGTTCAGTTATTTCGTCTAATGATCGTCGACCAGCTTTACTCTTTTTTCAGCTGTTACAGTAAATGTTTCCGTACCTTTTAACAGTTATATGAAAATTTTTTGAATCTCACATAGTCCAGTAGTTATTAGAGAAGCGAAAAAGTAAGAAAGTATAAAATACAGGTGCCACCTGGTTGAAAGAAAGTAAACTAATAACTTACCCGTCAAGAGGATTAAGCGCTATTGCTCTCGGTTCTTCAAGTTGATCTCTGATTAAAATCTTCCTCATGTTGCCCTGCAAGTCTGAGAGTTCGATGTGGTTCTTGCCGGTGTCTGTCCAGTACAAATGATTATATATCCAGTCGACTGCAAGGCCATCTGATGTGATGAGCTGATCACCAATCACCACTGTACGTTGAGTACCTTCGTCTATAGGCGCCCTGTGTAACAAAACAATGTGCTGTTACAAAACCATGTAAAACATGCATATAAAAGAAGAGGAAAAAGAGAGAAAGAAGAGACAAGGTACAATTTCTATATTAGTGCCTTTCTTATAAAAGCTGATGAACGTGGAAAAGAAATAATAATTACTTTTTGAGTATTTATATATGTGTATACAATATACAAGTTATAGCTATATAGGTTTTCATCTATGTTGCCAAATAAGCACACAGTTTCCGATTCCCACTTAATTGGTGCGTTATCTACTTTTAAGGATAACATTTTCCGAGCGTGTATATATGTATGTACAATTCATCGTTATAGATTAACCGTTTGAAGTAAATGTAAGGCGTCCGCTGTAATTTTATAATGAATGTACATAACTTAGCTTTTTTATAATAATTATTTAACAAAGGGGTACAATAGATTTCCAGAGTCTACTCCAGTCTATGGTACTACTACCGTACAAGTTTGTTCTACTAGAATCTAATGTTCTATTTCTCTCTCCTGTAGTGTTCTAATCTACGAGTAGTTTAAATTCCTACGCGATGATCATGTTATTATCTCAATATGGATAACATTATTATTGTACGGGCAATGCATGCAACCTGTATAGTTATGTAACAACATCTGTACATGCAACATGTACAGTTATGCTGGGCATTTTAAAAACTGACTCTGACTGACTGACTAATATAGTATTATATGTAATTAAACAAGACAAACAAATGCAAGATAAAAAATGGTTTAAAAGGGAAAAGTACTGAGAAAAATCCTTTTACTGAATAAAAACAATTGTAATCTTCGTGTCTTGTAATTAAATGAAATAATTCTTAATAATAAAATAAAACATATTAAAGAAATATAATGTTTCGCGATAACCATTAGCAATTTTGCTAGCCGTGAGCTTATTTGTCATCTCAGTAGTCATGAAAAAATATAGTTTGTAACATTATTTGAGCTTTAAGCTTATAACCTGTACATAGCTTATTAAAACAAATTAATTCTGTTTATACACGGTGATTCTTTTTGATCTTAATTTTATAATAATCAATGAATTAATGACATCTAAAACATAAGCGAGACACTCAATAAATTTTGCGAACCCTAAAAAAATAAAAAAATAGTTATTAAGCCCAAAGTTTTTAAAATTTTTTTTGAAATAACTCTCTACGAACACCATTTATGCCAAGTCTTAATTTGCTAGTGTAACAGATATATTTTTTACTTATACAAGCACTTACATCAAATCATTTTTTTTAATACGCCTCATTCACTATCTTTAAAGTTGGCGATAAGAAATGTAACACTTTGAGTTGTTTTCTATATTTAAAAAAATTAAGTGCATGCACTGCTAAATCAAGGCCTTTAAAAAATGAAAGTTTAAACGTTGTGCTATCCAGGAAGTCTCTCGTTCTGAGAGTGCACTGCGCGGGCATGTAGTCATGGTGAAGCACCAGTTCGCGGAGTCCCGGATTTGGTCACCTACACGTGTTCACAGCAATGAACACTAATGGCAGCATTTTATTCAGGATACAAACTTGTATTGACTATCATGCCTCTTTTCATTTCCCGAGGCTAACTCATTTAGACGTTACAAAACAAGATAATCAATAATGTTAAAAATTGACATCGTTTTTAAACATAATATATTAAAACAGTCGGATGTTAAACATTACAGAAAATGTATACAAAACATAACATAGTTCCAATGAATAAATGATTTTGTTTATTAATTAGTAATAGTTTTTATACTAACTTGTATATTTTTTCATCAGTCACATCACTCCAGAAAATCATTCCAGTTCTAAATACATAATCCAACGCTGTAGCTGATTTCGTGTCATTGACGATTGCGACCATTTCATGGTGGTCTAGGCTAATTTTGCGAATATCGAAACGTCTTGCAAACAGTAGGGATGGGTGTCCTTCAGTAGCTTTGCATCTCGTGCGGTCCCGAGGATCACGAGCGTATCCTGCGTGACATTCGCACTTAAAAGTGCCTTTCTCGTTGATACACATTTGAGAGCAAGCGCCGGGGTCTGAGCATTCATCGACATCTGTAAAAAGATTACAAAGTAATTTTTTGTAAGTATTAGGGTTGAGACGATTTTTTAGCATCCGTTCACTAGAAATAAATCACTACCGATTTTTAGGAAGCACACAAAATAAAAAGCCACTGACAGTGGCTCTTTTTACTGGGCTCCGCTTGGCTATAATCGGACATTAACACCCTAAATAGCAATTTCGATAGCATTATTAAGAACACTAAAGCCACATTACGGTAACTGGCTGACTAGTATACCAGAATGTGCATTTTAGTCCAAATAGATTGTTTACACACATTAATGGTGTAATAGATTTAGAATAAATAAATTTGAAAAGTTAAAAGGTTTTACATTTTTATAATTATAGACGTCTGAATAGTCAAGCACTATGCAATCAAGTTAAAGTGCAAAATCAGTTTGTTTAAATTTTCGTACATTTATGTGCTACTTTTACGTGCGACTACTATAAGTGTTTAGTTTGCACTCGCAATTTCTCTTACACGCGGTAACTTATCAGAACATAATTCTTTATTGATTTTAACTACCTCTATTAAGATGCATTTTTATATATATAATGTATAAGTAACTATAATATTAGTTTTATAGTTGATACGATTTAAATATTTTGTAAGATTAAAGTTTTTTTACGGACTGTGATAGTTCTAATTGAATCTATCAAAATTAACTTTGAAAGAGAGGTTTCTGTGTTGTAGTATTGCTATATTGGACAGATAAATGAATGAGTCATATTACCTTCGCAAGTTCTGTTGTCAACAAGTTTGTATCCTTTATCACAATCGCAGTAGTATCCGACAGGTGTATCCACACATTTTTGCGTGCATCCACCATTATTCTTAGAACATTCATTCTCGCCACATCGATCTCTAGGTTCATCTTCGAAGTTTGGACAGTCTGGATGCTTGTCACAAACCTTTGAGAGAGGAATACACATGCCACCACCACAGTCGAACTGAGTCTTTTTATCGCAAATAGTTTTAAGAACAGCTGTAATAGAAGTATAAGTTATTGTTAATATAATTATGTGTAGTGTGCCTTAGAGTTCTCCGATATAACATGAAATCAAACTTCAGACAAAAACTACGAAAGAAAAGCGAACTAGAATTAGAACAGTTTGGCGCATAGAGGCATTTAAAAAAAAAAGATTTTTTTAATGGTATAAGGGGGCAAACAAGCAGACGGGTCACCTGATGGTTAGCAACTACCACCGCCCATCTACACCTGCAACACAAAAGTCACAAGTGCGTTGCAGCCCTTGAACTCTCTCCCGCTGGAGTCAGCGGGAGGGAGGATTTGGGCTCCGGTAACCTAAGTACTCAGTGAAAGGCAACAAAAGAATTGCTTAACACCGGTTTTCTGTGAGGCCGTGGTATCACTCCGGTCGAGCTGGCCCATTCGTGACGAAGCATGGCTCTCACACGTACAGAGGGGGGTAGTAGGGAATTTTGATTTTAGGTTCTCCATCATAATTAATTAAAACTATCTTAATCACATATTCAATGTGTATCGGCAAGCTTTATTTTGGTCGTCTATTAAATTTATAAGTGATTATTTTTTATCTAAATATGATATTATTCAGTGGGTTTTGTTTTTACTTATCAGAATATTTCTTTTGTAGTTATTTTAAAATAATTGTGTACATATTTCTAGAATTATTAGCTAGATTTTAATTATTGTTGTATTACATATGCTGATATATACATGTAAATTCTGTGATTATTACGATAATACGCTAAAATGACGATATTTCCTTTTTTAATTTAGCAAGAATATAGTTTGTCTAATTCGTTAAGCATTTTTAATACAATATTAAGTTTATCTACATAATCGTACATGATGATTACAGAAATCCAGCAGTTTTTTGTTGAGATTACTGTTTTTAAACTTTCCAAAATGAGAATCTTCTATGTTGACGTTTGTTGCGTCTATAGACTACGGTAATCGTTTGTCGCCAAGAGTAATGGAAGGTAGTCAGGCTTGCCCCTTATGTGAAAGCTTTCTTCTATCAATGTTAACATTATAAAATATATTTTTGACTATAAGTTACTACGTTATAAAAAAAAACTTACTGCAATTATGCTCATCACTGCCATCTGGACAATCAATATCTCCATTGCAGTACAATGCTCCTGGAATACAGCTATGGTCTTTGCATTGAAACTGGTCGAGCCTGCAGGTAACGTTGCCACGGCACCTTTGAGGATCTTCATCGCCACCATCTGGACAATCGCGATCACCATCGCAAACCCACGCCTTGTGGACGCACGTCATTCGATCCTTGCACTCGAATTCTGATGATATGCACGGTGATCTAACTTTTGGAGTAGCCGCGCAGCCCTGAAAAAGTAATTGGTGTGTTTTCTTTAATTACATAAGTGTTTTTTTTTTCATCATAAATAGGTCCAGGGTTACGTCTGCTTTCTTTACGATTTTAATACTTAAAAGAACACTTCCTAATAAAAAACCAAGCTTAACATATTGGCATTTGAACCACTGGCAGCTTTGTAAACTTATCAACTTAATAGCTTATATTCCTGTCTTGAAAAATAACTATTAAGTTGTAAAATTTACCTTCCTAGTAGGGTTTGCTGCTTAATATAAAGCTATAATCATAAGCTGCAATGGAATACATAAAACTTTATCTATGATCAGTCATCTTTCAGTTAACTACGAAAATTATCTAATTAGAACTTTCACTAAGGGAACCCTTGTCTAACCAATAATATTTGCTGTACGCTAGACGATAATCATATCCACATCCACGAAAAGCTCGAAATCTTGACTCAAGATACTCATCTTATTTTGCAATTATTAAAATTATGTTTAGTTGGTGAACAAATACTTGAATTTTAACTTACCACTTCATCAGTACCATCAGGACAGTCCTCGGTTCCATCGCAGCGCCACCAGGCAGATATACAGTGTCCATTAGCACAAGAGAAATGCGTATTCGGTTGACAGGTTGGCGCGGGACACTTGGTTTCATCACTATCATCTCCGCAATCATCGTCTCCGTCGCACACCCATCTCAGTTGAATGCACTTGCCATTGCCACATGTAAACTCATCGGAGCGGCAGGTTTCATCTATAGTTCGATAAAATATTTCAGAAGAGGATTGGTACTACTTGTTGGTTTTAATGAATAAGTAACATAGAAATAAGTTAAAAGTGCAAAGGTTCAGGTTAAGTTAAAAATTAGCAAATTCTGACAAACAAAGTAAGTTCAATCATTGTAATCTTACTATAACTTGCAACTAAGATGGCTAAAATGTATTCAAAATTGATAAAAAAGATACGGGCCGAGAACTTTAAGATCTTGAATTAAAAACGAAGTGGGTTTATTCCCATTAGAAATGAATAAAAAAATGAATCTACTGTCACATCCACACATAATTAAAATTCAATGTAAATCAGAATGACAGCAAAATGTTATGAGTACAAAAAGGACATTTATTTTAAAATTGACCACGTCAAAAATGTGAACGAAGAATCTATAGGTTGTTAAAAGTAATGTAAGTGATGGAATTATCTAGTCTTAAAATATTTTGTAGTTGCTCCAGATATTTGCAACCACATATTTCTTTTACCACCTTTTTCATCGTTAGTTTATAAGATTATAAAATCATTTAACTAGGTATGATTGATGATACTATCAATGAGTGTAATTGATCATAAAAGATTAGGTTGAGGTGAATCGAATATTGCATCTCGATAGTCTCGGAATTCCGTCACAATAAAGAAATAAGATAAACGATGACATAATCGTGTTGAGGCTTTAGCTGATCGTGGGGAAAGCTCCGCGGGTCTACACACGCAACGTCATCGCCTCATCGCTCACGCTACTGGGCGGTTCTGGTATGGCTAGATAAGGATTTATAGATATTTGAGCCACGCTTTGAAATAATATGTAGATGCTCCCAGACCAATGATTGATACACATTTAGCGAATACCTAAAACTTGACGCCTTAACTCGTACAGCTATTTTTAAAAGGTCGATCCATTATTCACATCAAGATTATAATTTATTTAATTAATAACACAGGAAATAATTAGACGACCGTGACTACGGAGATATCTCCGAATGTAAGGAATAAACTGAATTGTGCTCTTTGTACTCATTATTATCTTAGCTTAAAATGTTACTTGAGATAACACATTTAGGTCGGCATCATGCAATTTCCTCAGCATTTATTCAAACGTGTATTACGCAATTGTCGCGTATGTGTGATAAACCAATGAGGGAGTTGCTTAAAATAAACGTTGTCGGAAATACTAACCCAGTGATGAAGTGAAGAGTTAACGTGACAATAATAACCTCACTAAGGTAATTATGTAAAACAAACGTAAAATTGCAAAAGTAACAGCAAAATGTTTCATTATGTAACGAATGTGATGTGGTTATGCTCGCGTTAAAAGAAATAATAGTTTTTTTTTTACGATGAATCTAGAACGATGCAAGGAGGCGATTGGTACGATTATTTTGATAGGTCATTTTAAGCATCATTTGCTTTACATAATTACATTATTGCAAAAATATGAAAAGCTTACTGCATGCTTTTTCGTCAGATCCATCCGAACAGTCAGCATTGTCGTCGCACATCCACGTGAGCGGTACGCACTCCCCTTCTCTCCCTCTGCATGTGAACTCTTCGGGCCCGCACGACTTTCCCTCTGCCAACCCAATTCATGCACATGCTAAGTACGATGCTAATATAAACATACGAGGTACATATGGAAATGTTTAATCTTATCCTCAAACATTTCAGCTGTATAACAGGGTTTTTGCTTTTGCCCATTAGAAGGCTGAGCTTTTATCATCTATATCACCTTTAATACTACCTTTGATATCCGTGCAGACAAAAATCTGTGACTGTTTATTTTGACATTGCGGCAATTATTTTAATGTCATTATTATTATTACTAGATTTTATTTATTGTACTCGTATATCTTTTTAGATCTTCGGATTACTTATTCGTAACTCCAAGTTTTCTATGTTTAATTGTTTTTCTGTCGACGTGGTCTTATTTTACTGATGGAATAATTGAAGTTCGAAATAACAAGTTTAGAAGTTTAAGAAAAGGTAACCGTTAACAGGAAAAAAATCGGGAATATCATATATTTGTAGCCCTTGTAAGCATGATCTCTACCTTTGCATGCCCCTGTTTGATGACTTAGATTAATTGACGTATTTGATAGTAGGTAACGTATCCTTTAAATAGTGAAACGTATAGCCGACATGCGAATTTTGTTACCGTTCATGCTCTTAATGGTAACGACGAAAATGCCCTTACCGCATTGATGCTCGTCAGAGCCGTCTACACAATCGGCCACATCATCACAATGCCACGACAGTGGTATGCACTGCCCAGTAGTGCACACGAATTTGTGTTCCGGACAACGCCTTTGTAAAGCTGTATGTAAAATTTAGATTGATATCCAAGTATTTCTTAAAATATTAATCTCTATAAAAACAAATTTAGCTACGTTTTGTGAGACGCTTTGTGAGAATATATGAGAATCTGATAAAATATTAAAAAAAAAAAAATTATGTTAGCGTGGCCTAAGGATATCTATTTGAGAACTTTTGTCGGTCTACGTAAAATGATTTAGTTGCTGATCGAAATACTTTTAAAAGTATTTAATCGGTCTGATACAAATATGTTTATTAATAATCGAGAGATTGCACAGTAGATAGTTTACACTTGATTATTAATCTTGGCGAAGTGACTGCCTTGAAGCGTGGCTGTCAGTAGTAACTTAAGTTGACAAAGCAAACACGTTTAAAACGCTATCCGAGTGCCATCCCTAAATAATAAACAGTAATGTTGAGCACGAGTCGGCTAAAACGTAATTAATGATTCTAAACAGTCCCCTTATTAGAGTGTAATGTTGTTTTGCGACGGTGTTAACGAAATTTAGACTACAGATGCGACAGACTGAGAAGCTTTGTTGGTCCTCGTTATAAAACTTTGAGTGTGAATGCCAGTTACGCCCAAAACTTAAACATTGATTCATTAAAATTGAGTTTAATATTATAGTACAATTTTAGCATTCTGACAATTCATACCTCGAGTTATTCTATCCACGGTCATCAGCAGCTAGTAAGTAGTTCTACAGACTAGAGAGCAATAAATAGATTATACTACAATAGAAAAGATATAACAAGAACAACTTTAACGTTTCTTTTCAATAAAATAACTAAATGTTACGTGCAAAATAATATTTCCTTTGCCAAAGTTGCATCATAAGGGTATGATAGCGCCCATAAAGTTAACTTAAAGCAAAAAAATACCGGCGCAGCTGAATTCTAAGTAATAAATACGTTTGTCAACAAGGACACAAAAGCCAGATCACCTATATAAATTTGATACGCATAAGTACTTCTAGCGTTGTCGCCTACAAAACATTGCATGTCCCTGGCAAATAAAAAAGGATTTTCCATTATGCGGGTCGACTTACTGTGGCTCTAACTGTACAAAGTTACGTGCTTGCGGATCCCATAGCCCCACCTCCTCAAAAAACCTTACGGAAGCTTTTTATACACATTGTTGCAGTTTGTTAAAAACAGAAATTATAAATCCCTTGCCTCTTGATAAACTCTTTTCTAAGCACATTAGTTTGCACCGGTTGCTCAGCATTAGCTGTAGTTAAAACTTTTGTAGCATAAACAAGGAAGTTTTTGAAGAAACACTTTGTTTAAATGAAATTACTTAAATCCATTTCACAAGGACCGTTCAAATTATCGCGAGATTATTAATTTAAATGAAATTAGCGTGATCTGCTTTAAATGTTGAAATTCAGAAATAAACATTCAAAATACAAATTACACGGCTTTTTAATTTAATTTTAAAGTATACGTTATATCCTAAAAAACGCGGTAATTTTACATATATACTCGTATATAATAAAAAGGGTCGGCGATAACAGTCACGATTTATGGCGTGAACCTTCTCTAAACCGAAAAAATCGCAAAATTACGGAATTTTGTATTCACTCTTAACTAATGGGATGCGTAGTATCTATATTGTCTGGGTATAATTGTTGCCTAGACTTTCTAGATCGCTTCACACCTTGATAAAGCCCCAATCGAGTCCCATTGATGTCCAATCTATTAAAATCCCCGTCTCCATTTATATCCACAAAAAGTCTAAACCAGGACAAATCTCTCGTGTGATGAGCACGAGTCCCGGGTGGGTGAAATTATTTTATAAGATGACAGCTTACGGCTTTGCTCACGGAACACAGAATACTTCTTATGTATTTTTCTTACATCTAATCATAACAAAACATTCAACTGACCCCCAGTTTTTTTTTTTACTCCCGGTTTCCCTTACGTTATTGAAGATACATCAATCAATTCGGATATCCCTCGCAAAACTGTACTTTTTTAATGAGAGTTACTCTATGTCCGTCCCTATCTTCCAGGCAAAGTTCATGATGACCGGTTAAGTAGGCCTGGATTCACAACAAAGTTGTTGCCATTACCCATATCAGAAAACAAGTGTTAAATACCATACAATATATTACAAGAGAAAGTGCCATGTGATACTTCTCATTAGATTCATCAAATCGCCTAAAAAACAAAACTGCTAATTATAGAAGACGATATCATGACTGAAGTAATTAATTCACGAAATTGAAAACAATAACGATGAATTTTGACGGAATTAAATAAATTATTGCAGTTGTGAAATCGAAAGTTGATCGGAACTAAATTGTGACGTTTCAATACAACGTATTATAGAATGATATTCAAATTTATGAAATACAAACGTTTCCAAAGTTTTAAACCCGATATATACTTGAAATTGGCAAATTCCTGTAAAACTGTTTTGTCAAATGATAGAATAGTTGATTGTAATATTTTGCAAAACGTATGCACACTTGTAAGTATAGTAAAAATTTATTTTAGAGGGTGACTGTACAAATCTATGAATTCATGGCTTTCCTACCCGCTATGACACACTAGAATGTATGCTAACCTTATTCTGATGACCACTCGAATGCCAAAATCTTCGATTATTGTATGGTTACATGGCATGGTTACATTAAGCTCCAAAAATGGCTGACCAGCCACATTACTACATCACAACTGTTAGGGCAGGGGAAACCACTTAATAACGTTCCCGATTGTCATGAATAATAGTGACTGTCGATCAGTAGGTTCATGTCTATATGTTTTGACGGCAAGTCAACATGTAATTAGGTAGTCTAGTTATATGTTAGAGCCATGGAATTAGACTACCAAATATAGTCCATCCACTGCTGGACATAGGCCTCTCCCATTGCACGATACTAAGACAGATTTTGGGCTTCTCTTACATATAAGATGTTCAAGATCTTCTTAAACAAGATACCAATAAGCAGCCTACTTTTGGAAATAGTCAGCAGAAAGAATATAGCTAAATTCGTTTTTATTTTGAAACTGCTAACAGCAATAACATTGAAAAAAGAAGTTAAATTAGAAGTTCGGTCGACACGAATAAGTCCAATTTACGTCCGTTTCCATTATTTCATTTTATCCATAAATAAATTAACTCGAGCCTTTACGCGTTTTATGTAATGTTTAAAATTCGTATTACGTGTTTTATTTAAATACTACAGGCTCTCGGCAAAAATTCATTCGTGAAGACCCTCTTTTTGAATATTCGCATTTTTACATTACCTTTACAGAATTACTTCAAACCGAAATTTACATGTCTGTAAAGGTAAGGATCACTGATATAATTATGTATGCCTGGGATATGTATAGTTATTAGTATTTTAATTCAATTTTTGACCCCTTAATGTCCGAACTGGAACCTGAACTGCTTTGACAAACTGTGAAATAACCAAGTTTTAATACATAAAATATAAGCACGTGTGCCTATTTTTTATTTGATGACTTTTAAAAAGATATTTATGTGTTAAAATCAACGTACATCGTATGCAATGCCTAGTCACTGAAATCGTGTAAATTACCAATTGATTTCATCATCATCATCAATTGATTTAGTGATGGTTAAATTTGTAAAGTCTGGCAAAGTTGACTGCTGTCTAAACTTTATATAGCAAAGTTTTTATTTAGTAATTTATAAATTATATACAATTAACGATTTGTAAGGAACTGATTTTTAAAAAAAAAATAGATTTGTTTGAAATGAAAACTTCTTTAGGCGCGTTGGGCATTTTTGAACAACAAACAAAATAATGTATTTTTTGAGATGGGAATAAGACCATTGAACTCTCGAAACTGTTATCGTTACCGACACCTCTGTATATACATAAGTAGGTCCCGTTTACACGTGAGTTGAGTTTGGATTGAAATACATTGATAATATAACTATACATAATATAAAAATATATTGTGTATATACGTACAACATAGATATATATTCATGTCCGAACTTTTTGAATCGAAAAAAAACTGTTCAATTTAAAAAAAAACAAGTTTTCAGTTCTGCCGGTACTCCCGGAGTGCTACTGTTTTTTTTTCTTTACTTGGCTTGGCATGAAAATTAAAGTGAGGATTATAAAATTACTTCCAAAAACTTTTTTTTGTAATTAAGATCTTAATCTACAGCGGAAGCCCCGCTAAGGACAAAATACTCGTATTTCAAAAGTTTTCTCATAAATTGTTAGATAATTATTTTTTACGGTTTTAGCGTTGGAATTGATACGATGCCATTACTCAAGATCGCAAGGTGCTCAGTTATGTGCGAATTATTATTATTTCTTAACTAGATATTGTGTTATTTCTGCTAAATAATCATCATCATCACTATTTTGATAAGTAAGGTTGCACAGTTGAGAATTTACAATTCGAAAAGTTTAGCAACTCACGATTAAAATTTTTGATAACTCAAATCAATAGTACAAAAATAATTTTATTCCTACTTTTTGTAGTTCATTTTTAATCGAGAGAAATTAACTGGTCTTTTAAAAAGAAAACTTTTAATAACTAATAAGATAGGTCTTAGGTACCAGTCATCACACCATTCTCATCGCCAATCGAGGGCATTGATCATACTCAAAAATAAATTCGAACAGTCTACTGCTCATATAAGTATAAATGCTACGAGTATTTACATATTTACTCAGGTTACGCTATTCCCTTATACTACTTTTTGCAAAGTCCATTTGTTTTAACCCAAAGAAAATAACTCAAGTTTATGTTTCGGTTACCGCAGAAAATCTGTCTAAATCAAAATTGCGGTTTGATAAAAACTTTTTCGGTTTCTAATAACAAGGGATAACTCTCGGGTTGGGGTTATAGGATCGTCCAGTTTTCATACCCTTACTGGCTTTGTCATTTAGCGACCTTGTTTTTTCATTGTTCTCCATTTAAACAATAGGCGACTCGACCCTAAAGTAAATTTGCCAAATAAACAGTGTTTACTTATTTTTGACAAACAAATTATTAAGTATGCGGCAGAACCACACCCTTGTTTCAATTTCATTTAGCTTCAGTAAGAAAACCTTATATTAATTCTTAGAATTTACAAACAGCTCTGTGAAAAAATACCACATCTATTTGACATTGTTCATTTCAAATTACCTACAGCCTTAAACTCAAAAAACAAACTATGATTTATAGGTATAACTCGTTGGGTAACAAGTTTATTGTAAAAAACAATTTTAGAATGAACATTAAATCTTTTAAAAGAATTAAGTTAAAGGATTATACTTACTGCATGTGCCAGGCTCTTCGTCCGAACCATCAGGGCAGTCTTTTTCATTGTCGCAATGCCAGGAACGCGGTATGCATCTTCCTGTTTTGCAGCGAAACTCTGATTCTGTGCAAGTGCGACTCTCTGTAATAAAAACAAAATAATAAATTGAATAACGGCTCGAGGCTACAAGATACATAAGTAAATAGATGTCAAAATAAAAATTCTCGGCAATATCGTTAGGGGTTTTAGTTACACAGGTCGCGTCAAGGGTGAATTTTTCATTACATCTCGACCAACCACAATTTTGCTGATAAATATTTTTGTGAATGTTTGTAGTTAAAGTGAAATGAACCTTAAGTATAAACCTGTAGATGTTAATATTTAATATGGCAACACTTTTACCGAACATCTTACTCCTTTTTAATTTATTTGGAAGATGTGACGGGGAATATGTTGACTTTTCCAAGGGTCTTTAATCTCCACTTATATGTATTGAACTAAAATGAAGGTACATTATGTAAGGGTGTATGTGAACCTACATAGACAGATATGTAAAACGAAAATACAAAAAAAACGTAAAACGTTAATAAAATATCTGAAAACGTACAGTATTCAGAAGAGATGCCTAGTTCTTGTGCATTTAAAAGAAATAATATTCATATTTATTGTCTTTAACAACAAATCAAGTATTAAATATGTTTTTTTTAACCAAATGAAAGGACAACTAAAACAAAAAGTTGTTTCGTGTTCGTTTAAAATCGAACTATTAACATTAACACTTACACTTATAATTTTTAGGATAAGATAAACAGTATTAACGCCATGTTATTAAAGAACACCAATTTAGAAAAAAATAAAGTAAAAATTGTTTATTACATCGTACATCCTACAATTTTGCTTCAATTTGTCTAAACCAGGAGGTCGTAAACTGGATCAATCCATTTACAGCTGAAATCACCGTTCAACGTGGATATAAAACAAGGTTGAAGAAAATTATCGCCGAATAGTAGCAGCCGCTGTATCTCTAGGCGAGCCAAGAGAAGGCACGCGCCGCTAACCAATTCGTAAACAAAACGTAGCCCCAACGAATAATATCGGCCCGCAGCCAACGAGTACATAGTAGTACGTACATTTCTCTTTTACTGTAACCCACGTTGTAAATTCAAGTACCATCAAAGATTGCTCAACGTATAAAGCTCCCATTTTGCAGCTAGGTATAAAACTTTACTCACAATAGTTATGTCATAACCGAAACGAATACCTATTGTGAGTGAAGTAAAATTAGTTCACACATTGTGTCGACTAATTTTACCTAACAATTAGGTGTTACTAAACAAGTGTTATAACCTCAATAATTTTGTGTTATAATCATGGTATTACATGATTATACAAGTCTTTCCATTATCATTTAGAACATTTTCATTCGTACACTATACATTCATAATAATTTTACGTTTAATTGTGAATCTAAACTTTGTGAAATCGTTTCTATTCGGCGTATAAGGCGCCATTTTATGAAGAATGAAATTATTACTAATATACACTACTAGCTTTTACCCGTGACTGCGTGTATGTCGGTTATCGCGGTAAAAAGTATCTATCTCCATACCATATTGCATTTGAATCGGTTTAGCAGTTATTGATTCCCGTATAAACTTCCACCACCCTATTTACCTCTTTAAAAGATGCTTTCTAAGATAAAAACTGAAAGGAAATCCGCGCAAGAACATAGGATATGTTCTTTAATGGGATTTAATTTATCTCTATTCCAAATTTCATCTGAATGGGTTCAGGGGTTTAAGCGTGATACAGACAGACAGACACGCTCTTGCATTTATAATATTAGGATGGATATTATTATTATGAAATATGTAGGCTCATACCCGGGTTTCGAGTAGGTACATATCTATTTTCTTAGAATATACTTCACAAATTTTATCTTCGGATGTCTTATTACTAGTTCTGGGGCGAGAGCTTTTATTTTCTGAAAGTGAATACCCTTACCATTCAAGGTAAAAATAGATAAAATTCGAAGAGAATCATAGTTGCTTACTATATTTTGGGGTTTTGGAAAGACTGTTTTCAACATGTACCTACGCACTCAGACCGCTTAAGCGCCGACGATAGCGGTAAGTGAAGCGAATTCGTAACAGAATACCCATATCAAGGGGGCGCGCGGCCATTTGCTCAAATGAAACGTTCACCGTGTAACACCCACATTATTGCTCCTCCACGTTGGAATGTTAATGCGCACGGCTTCTCAACCGTCCTGCTTCAATCCTCGTTCGAAGCTTTCTTATCTCTGCAACTTTCTCATTAATGTTTTACGTGAGTTTTCTAGTGTACTCGTTACAATGCTAATGACACCCCCTTTAGAACTAAATCACTACACCTTATATAATTTTTATGAAGTACACGTTTCGACATACATAATACATCTAGTATGGAAACGCGCTCATAATTACTACACCCGAAATAGACGCTCTAATATTAAATAGGCAATTATCTATAGCAGTTAATTTTGATGATTACCCTTTGTGTCTCATACTAGTAGCAATTGGGAAACAAAGAGATTGTTTAATAGAGTAGTTAGAGGAGATTTAAATAATCTGTAGTCACGCTGTAACATTAGCTTAACAGTTTTGTAAGTCGCAATAGCATACAGTGACTGTGCAACCGATAGAGATGTAAATTACTAATAAGGCTCGCAAGAAAGGGCTATAAATATCGCTCCTATTGAGCCTCGTAACTAGTGGAGTGGGTAAATTGAAGATACATCGAGCTGTGCCCGTCCGATAAGCTAGTTCGGCGGCTGTCGTGGAATGAAATCACTCTGTCGCGAAATGGCGACAAAAATTGCCTTCAACAAAATTGTCTCTGAGGCTATCCTTATCTACAATTCTCATTCATATTATGATAGACCGTTATTACATCTCAACAACTTTGTTTTTACTGTTTTTGTTTACCTAACCACACAATCTTACTGTAAGACTACATGAAAAAACAATGTACTAAGTACAAATAATACTTATAAAAACAACTTGTCCATATACCTTAAGCGATTTGTATATTCGACGTCAATCAACACATATTTGTAAACGATCAACAAACTATATGCGCTTGAATTGAAAACGAGTTTATACTACTTTTTGTCATGACATTGCTTTAAAAACACGTGTGTATACAAATAAATAGTATAGCTTCAAAACATATGAAATCAAGTATCATTATATAACGGATATAGTTAATAAGAAATTGGAATCTAATTCATATGTTCAGACAGAAACTTACTAAATCGTTACCAGCTAATAAGCATAGTTATTTCTGTTACAAACATTGTTATTATATTACAGAATAAAGTGTGTTGTATTTGTTTATTTAGCAGTTCTTAGTAACTGATCCCAAGATGAACGTCATAGGGCTAAATAAAACAACTTGTGTATGCTGTAGTGTACCTATTTTTAAGTTTAAATTCGAACAGTTATGCAAAATGCATTATGGGGATGTATTGCATAGTATTGAGTAAAACATATCTACTTTTTTGTAATATTTATTGTTATAAAAGAATATAATTAAAATTTATATTTAAAATTGTAGTCAAGAAAATATCTATCTATTCTAAGTTTAAATATTCATATATCTAATGTAACTCGTAAGTACTCGTATTAACTGTTAATTTTAAGAGCAACCTCTAATTCAAATAAACATATTTAAATTGAGGGGCTGTGTGGGAAATAATATTGGTCTATGGATGAAACTTTCTGGAACTATCTACTCCATGTTTTTACTTTATGCCAACTTCACTCTGCAATAAACATGGAAGCTATTACTTAGTGTTTTTCTTTCCTCTCATTTCAAAATATTCAATAGAATGAACGATAATACTTAAGTGTTGTATTTATTTGTCTACTGTAACTACAACAATTTTAGCTAAAGATTTTTCAATAATATTCGTTTTGAGAACCTACTAGATGCACCACCATTAGATCAAATTGTCCCCAAGATGGTAATAGTGTAAGAGTACCGAGAAATTGTATTACCGTACCATACTTGATGGTAACGACGATGAGTGCATTTGTTGCTGACGTAACTGGTAGCTTTAAAGCGCACTTACATATATGATACTTGTTTAAGAGCCCTCGGCTGATATATTGTGCTCACTGTTTAACATACACCGTATTAATATTAACAATAAAGCCAAGGCTGTTATTGACACCTTGTTGACCCATCTAAGATGATATTGAGTTCGTGCTAGTGGCCGCCAACTTGTATCAAAGTTTCTGATTGGTTTTCAACATGCGTAGCGCTCTACGACAGTACGTAGCTTTAGATTTTCCTAAGCGCTGCGAAGTAATTCAGTTATTTGTACGAGCCGCCCTATCGGAAAGCAATAGTTAAACTAGTTACTCCCATTTTAGAAAAAGAGATTCAGCAGCTTATCTAGATCTATTAACTATTGTATGCCTAAACTGCCTCATGACTGTTCGGAGAAAGAACTGCGTGGTACAATTGTAAAATTGTATATCCTTTCTAACCTTCGCTTGATACTTGAACGGAGCAGCTACATGGACCCTACATACAACTATATGTCCTCAATGCGCTAGCTTGGGAGGTGAGGTGGCAACATAAAATCCGTCTCATCCACTCACGATCATTCTTGGTGCCACTCGGCATTATCAGCAAATCAGATCCGCTTTCATGTCGTTTTATTGGTTTATTGATTTGCTACCACATTCTCGAGACGATGTCCTCTCAGAATGTCGTGACCGCAGTTTCTACCAAAAAACCTAAGTCTTGCAGCAAGGCCTGTAAAGACTGCAGTAAGAACCCGGCCTTCTCGCAAGCAAGACAACCCGCAAGAGTACGCCGTGCTACCTTCTCATTATAGTTGCAGTGATGACAGACGGGACTTGACTCCCTCCTGACGAGCGAATGTTGGTAATTTCTGTAGCGAAAGGCAAGACCACTAGAGCAAGAACGACTGAAGTGCCTCGACGGTGGCAAAGATGGTTTACCTAACTTAACTAGTACGTTTTTAATAGCGGAAATGACTAAATATTTGATAAAATGTAAAGAAGGACTATTAAATATAAGATCTTATAGTTCGTTATACGATATTGAGTCCTAAGTGAATCCAATCACTATAAATATATAGTTGATTTTAAATATTCCCTGCCAAATAGGCAGAGACAATTAACTTGTATTGTATGGCTAAAATAAACAACAATTAGGTCAAAATCCAAAAATGTCTGATAAATTGTTTAAGGCATAAAACAACTGTGACAGTAATACAGTAAGGTTGTTAAAAAAATCATGTTACATATAAAAACTAAATTTGAAAACTGCATTGTTCAAATCTATTCTCTTAGGCTGTTGCGAAAATCAACTTAAGCGCTTTGACGACTAGTCCCTTAAGGCTTTGTTACAAAACTCAATTTGAAAGGACGCCATTCGGTTCTATAGAAAGACATAACTAAGAAAATAAAATTAGATAAAATTAGAATTAGATATAAATCACATATATTGAAAGTTTTGTTAGACTTTGTGTATTAAATGTAATAAAGTTAGCTCTAGATACTGAGTTGTGTTTTAGGAGAAAATACAAAATAAAAAACAAGTATGTTGGAATTACCTGCATTCCTGTAGTCGTAGGCCTTTGTATACGTGTCATAGTCATCGTCATATAGGGATGCTTCAGCTATCACAGCTAACACGATGAACCAAATTATTCGAGAAAACGCCATATTTTCGTACCTTTTACCCTCTTCAGTGTTATTTACACTAAAATATAAACAAATGAATGACTAAGATTGTGTGATAATAGAAACTTCTTAGACAATCAATTTGCTGTCTATTATAAAAATGATGATTTCACGATTCCTTTTTCATACGCAACGTTCCTTTTTAAAGCAGTAGTACTACTTTAAAATTCTTTTAAACTCAAGGATCTTTTTCAACCGCCCCCCTCCCACCCCACATGTAATAGTGGACCTTTGTTTGCAAATTTTATTAGCCTATTTAAATATATTAGGTATTACATTTTTTGTTAAATATAGTCTTGAAGACTTGAATGTATCTAATTTCCAAAGTATTTTTTCGTAATTTTTATTCCTTAATTTTTTAATGTAGATTTCTAAACTCCACTCTTTACTGAAGTCATAGGAATTTTAGAAACATATGATCATTAATTAGTTTCCGTTATTGAAGGCATTTAATGTATATAAACCACCATTAAATCACTATAATATGTAATGTCACCTGGCATCAGATCTCTACGTACCGAATGGTTTCAACAAATAACCTGGCTACATTTTTCTTTTCTATATAGAGTACTTACATATAAAGACATTTATTTGTCCTTCTAAGTACAATAAATTTCTACATTAATGTCGTGATTCTACGAACCACGTGATATCAAATTATTTACGATTCGAACGATGCCCCAAAATGGGTCAGTGATCATCTGTGAAATAGTTTATTTTATGATAAAATAAAATCTAGTTTTTTTTTGTAGGATGCTGTTAAATTTTGTCTAGAAATAAAGGTCAGAATTATGCGACACTATGTAATGAGGCAACCAGGACTCATTTTTCGTGGTTAGCAATGTAGAGGTTTTGATAACGGTTATTAATTGTTTGAATCTATCTCCCTCATAAAAAGGGGTTTAGTCTGGTTACTTTCGCGACACAATTATGTAGCAAGATTCTTAATTATGGAGCTCGTTTCTACCGATGAATGAACTACACTCATTGACTGACTTCAAAAGGGCTAACTCGTACTAACGTTTTGTAATATGAACGAGCATCTTCGCAAAGGCACGCAAAAAATCCTGTCCTGTCTTGAAATATAATAATTATTTTTTGATTTATTTTCATCTTTTTTATACTACCAATAGTTATGCTTACTTTAGAGATGTGTCCCTAACTGTATTAACAAAGTATTTTCAGGAATATATACAGATTTACACTTATATATGTATCTATGAGGTAGTATCGGTTGTCTTACAAAATTCTATTGGAAATACGATACTACTAAAATCGTCTCTGTGACAAATGGAATCTAGTATCTCAAATTACTTATCAGTACATTAATACATACATTGTCTAGAGCTATACATTGTCTATACCTTTAATATGGCTTATATAGTTTCAACACAAAGTCTATTTCTACGTTTATTTTGTAAAAACATGCAATCATATACTACACACAAACCTTTAGCTGCCTACAGAACTATATTAGAACTAAGCTTGTTGCAGTTGAACATTCGATAGCGTCGCAAAATAGTTCACAAAGCACAAGCATTTCTCTTTGGCCTTCGTCGACGCAAGTTTGACTACTTTCCTAAGTTTTAGAAATATGCGTGTTTAAGGGCAAAATCAGTTCAATTTGTGGGGAACGGGTGTCTCGTTCCTCCAACACAAAGGGAGGATCCTCCGAACAAGCGAGGTGATCATGCCTGGCGGGTTGCCATATTATGCTAATCGGCGTGAGAATTATTCATACCGCGATACAGGATTAGAAGTTACTCCGTAGTTCGGTGTTTCTTCATTAGATGGCGCTATAGTATGTTTCTGTGCTATAGTATGTCACTGTATGTGGAAGTCGCCACAAATTAATAAGGATACTGAAGTAACTGGAATATCTAATGCTATATTTGTATCATCAATACTTTTATGGTATCGCGTTGTAGAAGGTAATTGGATTCTATGTTTAATAGATAAATATTTATTTCCATACATTATGAATAACTCAATAGAGCTTTATGTCCTGTTTAAGTATGTAGGCTCCAACCATTACCTACATTTATCAAGTAACATATTAAATAGGATAAATGAAAATCTTCGTATACAAAGCATTATTGGACATAAAATAGATAAAAAATAAAGTGTTATTTTGTTCCATTAGAGGGTACAAGACAGTGGAAGAGAATTCAGGAAAACAAACAGTTTGGACCAATAACCACTTTTGTGTTTTTTAAGGCGCTATAAATAATACCTTGAAGGTGTTTTGTATTTCCGATTTTAAACAGTCTCTACAGAGCAGCTTCTAGGAAAAAGAAGAATGAAATAAAAACGGCCAGAATTACTCACTCTGTTTTGTTGATATAGTAATTATAGATGATATTTTATGTCATAGAAAATTATGTCTTACTCGTCTCTGAAACGTACGCTGGCTCATAAAATCAATAATGTACGTTATAATTTATCACTTTGTTATTTTACAAATATTCGTTACATCAATAGCTTTAAGAAAAGCGTTACCGAAATATTCTTCTTTACTTCTTCTCTTAATCTTTTTTTTTAAGACTGTATCATAAGCTTAATTCTATCAACATTAATTCTATTGCCAATACCGTGGTATGGTTTTAATCTACAAAGTTTTGCATAACAAATTAAGGGTATCGAGAGACCTCTCGACTAGCCGCCGAAACCACATTCAAAGTACAGCTGTCTAAAAAGGCACGCTTATCTCCAATTCCTAATCCTTATAAATTCCATGTAAACTCTGATAGATCGGAGCGAGTCTAAAATTAATTACCACGAACTTCAGGGACCCGTCAATTACACCGCGCCATTATTCTATTCGGACTCTCCCCACATTGTTGGGGGAGGATGTCTAAACGAGTTTGATAGGTACGAGTAATGATTAACTGCCATCTTTGTTGTAGATAGTTAAAAAACCACGATTAACTAATTCACTTTAATAGCATAAGACTATGTTAATAGCACCAGTGTGATTGTAATTTTAATGAAAAAAAAAACTGCACGAATGGCGTAGTGGTTCAAGCGGTCATCTCCGCTTACTACTACGCTGAGTGTTATAGGTCCGATCCCCACATGGGACGACACTTTGTGTGATCCACAAATAGTTGTTCTGAGTCTGGTTGTTCATTGTGTCCGTTTCATGTATGTTTGAAAAGTCCCCCGCTACACAGGATATATTCCTAACGCCGGAGTTGTCTTTTTAAAGAGAAAAGAAATACATTTTTAATTTCTTTAACGAAGATGCCACAGCATCACAATTTATTTGTGATCCAATACAAGAACTTTGCAGGCAAGGATCTAGCAATGTGTTTTATGTACATGGCGAGGACGAGTAAAATAAAAAAGAAAAAACATCTCAAACCGCTTAAGCAACTTTTTAATTCAAAGTTTCGTGTAAAATTGTGCAAGTTTCGCGACATGGCACATTTCGTTAGGATGTTTGTTAACTAAACTCTTTTACCTACTTCTGCTATTATTATTAATCAATTTAATCTGAAACAGTGGAATTACCTAACCGTAGTTATATATTGTTTTAGAGTGTAGTATTTACATGTTACTTTAATGTGTACTATTTTTAAGGGTTCCTAATTGAAATCTATACTAATATTATAAAGAGTTTGTTTGTTTGTTTGTTTGTTTGAACGCGCTAATCTCAGGAACTACTGGTCCGATTTGAAAAATTATTTCAGTGTTAGAGAGCCCAATTATCGAGGAAGGCTATATATCATCACGCTAAGACCAATAGGAGCGGAGCACCAATGAAGAATGTTTCAAAAACGGAGAAAATTTATTACTATTGAGAGACGCAGACGAAGTTGCGCGGGTCAGCTAGTCGTTCTATATATCTATCTATCTATCTATCCTAATTAGCTCACAAAGTTTGTCTGAAGTATATTATGATACGCCTAATTCTTACATTATTGCTTTCATAATGTGACTATATTTTTAATGTATATAATTATCCTTAATTTAGTACAAACATGTCCTACAACGTGTTTGAGATCTAGATTTTTTCCAAAGAAATTCGCGAGAAACTCAGGGTATTAAATCCGACATAAAAACAACAATTGTATGAAAATAAAAAGAAGAAAACAAGTCTTTACAGATCGAAATATTAATGTAAAATGATCCTTAGTAAATAAGTAGAGCTTCACGATAGGTCATTAATTGTTATATATTGCAAAACGCATTCTCTCTGCAAAATAAAGTAAATATTTGCTAGAAAACGTATAAATTTAGGTGGGAACGGAAATCTACCGGAGTCAGCTATTAAATTTATTTTTTACGACTTCGTTAAACTGTGCGAATGTTAAACGAGGCATGTACGAGTCGTAATTTTGCTCGAGACCGCAAGGAGTACGCGATCGACACTGACGACTGTACAATTAACAACCTCTGTCAAATTCACACCCATCCATCACCCTGAAGCTATGCCCCCTTTAAGATGTGACTGAAAAACTCGATTCCAAGCAAATGTGATTGAGTGTTGAAATTTTATTTCGATTGTAATTTGTATGAATTTTCTTTGCTGATTTCATGCATATTGAATTAGCACAAGCCTGTTAAATTAAAGATCAGGGTGAAACATGCCGTAGACTATTTCAATAAGTACAAAAGCGTTATTATAATACAAGTGAAACGTATAATTATCATATTGATATGATCATGTAAGATTGAATTGTTAATATTACAACTACTTTATAAAATGTTTGTCTGTAGATGGAACTTAGCACTAGGCTAAACAATTGTAGCAACAAATACTAATATACTTAAAAGGAATTTAAAGAAAGAAATTCCTATAAAAACCGTTTTACTCGTATATTTCAGTCTTCAGATACATTTAAAAGTTAATGTACATCACCAAAATTGTATCTCGTCTTTTCATTTATTATTAATTTGATCGTGGACTACAAATACTATATGTCAGTATATAGGTATTATAAGTAGCAGAAAGAACCATTGTTTGATATTGAAATTTA